GAGATATCTTTTTATTTTATTGTCCATTGAAATTTCAGTCCAGACATTTCATTCCTCTTGTGTCAGCCGCGCCTCAATGATAGGACTTCTCTGAGGCTTGCCTTCGCTTCATGACTGTTTGTAGGGCATTGCTGTGCCCAAATTGGCTGCCACATTCACCTACACAATACATAGTCACTTTACGGTAAAATCTTCTGACGAGCTTTGAGACATTTTGATGACTTGATAAAACTCTTGATAAAACCAGTCATTATTATGACACAGCAGGAAATGGGAGGTAACTGCCAAGGCATGATACAGCTGGTGGAGCGGGGATCTAAAGTCCCAATAATATGTTAACTTTTAAACACATTTGCGTTGTGCTTTTTATAGTATCTTGATTGTCTTGCACACTTAAATAAATGTATAGTTTCTCATATCAAAGCAGACTTTTAATCTTTATGACATGGGTAGTTAATAGTCATGCAAATTTGATAACCCAGCGTCATGGCGGATAGAGGAAAAGCCCAGTCTGGATACTAACCAGATCCTGAGTCAGATATTCAGGGCAAAACCATCTTGGAGATGATTGAACAAATGTATTTTGTTTTTTTAATATCTGATTTATTAAGCAAATGTAACAACTATCAGCTAACCCGATGTTTAAATTGGATTTTTATGCTTATAACCCGGGGATCCCAATTCTGTAGTGCATTTTTTTTTGTCTTATTTTCACTGTGGGATAGATTCCAGAACATGAACAGTAACTGGGAACCCGCTGAGAGTGTGTAATTTTCCTGGGGTCCAGCTGTTTGACTGTTTCGTCTGCAGCATTAATTTTATGCTCACCAACCTTACCCCATTTCCGGCGAAAGTCCATGCAGGCTGGCGGGACCAATTATTGCACATCAACGCACTGTTGGAAAAAAGGAGTTTCTCCCAGTGTTGTGGCCAGCAATCCTCCAAATACAGTAGAATCCAGTTATAATGCACTTTGTTTGCTTAATGCATCCGAGTTTGCTTATAAAGCGATTTTTGGTTGTGGTCGCTGACATTTTGTTACCCAAACATCCAAAATCCCAACATTTAAATCTGTCATCGGACTTTAAATCACGCTTGAAATCCCGATGTTTCTATTCAAAATGGTTCATTGGGCGATGACCCATTTTGAAATGTGACAATAGGATTTCAAGCACGCTGCGTGAGAGACGCAGCCGACTGGCTTGGAAGGGATGACACCTGTCGTGAGATCGGTGAAGTCATGACGTTCTTGACCCACGAGTTATAAGATGAGCTGGAATTACATGGAGCCCTGCTACCACCTTATAACAGGAATCTACTGTTAATTAGTAATTCATCTTCTGGCTGTTAACATCACTTTGTGCAAATTGGCTGCTGCATTCGCCTACAAATATGTAGATATCACATTTAACAGTAATGACTGTAAAGAGCCATTTTTGACATTATAGTTACGATATAAAATGGAGAGATTATTATTATTTATTATCACTGACCTATTACAGCCTGCCACAGCCTGTGCGTTAAATCAAGGGGGTGGGGAAGAAAACAAAAGCATTGCAAAGTAAATGTGGACTCCACAGCATCAAGGTTTAGTTAACCACTGGACTGCTTTTATGCTTAAGGTATGAGTGCTTTCAAGCATCACTACTTTATGCAATCTATTCTGTGTTTGATATCTTGCAGATTAAACAATGCTTTCATTTCAACTGGCAAGAGACGCGTGAGCAGAATATCAAAATCGGGTGTTTATTTTTAAGTTATAAAATAAGTGGGTTTGTTTATATTAGAGGCTCTTTAATACAACAATTCTTGATTCAAAGTTCTTGGGCCACTAGAATTCACTCAGTGGAGCTCAAGGGAGTGAATGAACCCAGTGCAATTAGCACTCACCACAGTTAAACTGTGCAATGAAAAGCCCCCCCGGTGCCACCTATAGGGATATGTATGGAAATACAGCACTCTTAGGTTGTGTCAGGGGAAGAGCTCCTGATGCGATGTCTGTCGGATGGTCCTATTCCATGCTGGCCGAGCCCTTTGCTGTTCTCCTTTAGAGGTTCTGTGTGTTGGGATTGACTTAATATACCTTCCTGAGAGAATGACAATCCTACATCATCACCTCTTAAAGGGGATGTTGTTCTTTTCTTTTTTTTCCCCCACCCGACAAGAAGGAAATGTAATCTTATTTAAAAAGGTGCCCAGTGTTGTGTAGGAAACTGCAGTGCTGAACTGTTTTATGCAAATATACTGCAGACACCATGGAAGTAAATATAGATGTTAATAAATGGCGCAATGTCTGCAAGGGCTTTAAACCACCCAAGGATGTTCGTGCAAAATTAAAATTAACAGAGCTCACGCTACTGCCATTAATGTCTTGAACCTAAAAGCCATTGATTTATGTTGGGCTAAAGGGGGTGGGTGAGGGAGATTAGGGGAGGGGAGCAGAAGGACAGAGGTCATCTCATGGAAAATATTGGCCGTAATAATTGCCCGAAGAGAAAATCTATAATTCAGTTTAACTGGTGGATCTTATTATCAGTAAAACTGATACGGGTTCAGCATTGTGATGTAAGGAGTTTTAAGAATGGTGCTATTCTGTGAATGGCAGAGGTGTTCCCACACAGGAATGTACAATTGCAAGGAAGGTGCATCATGAGGTGACATAATGCCAGGAATTAAAAATTGTTCTTCTGTAGAAGTCTCTCTGTTTGTTGCTAGTGCCTTCTACTCGTTCTTGGGATTTGTGCACAAGTAAGGCACAGTTAACCAGCTGGGGAGATTATAATAATATTAATAATTATGGTAACCCATGCACTTAGTATAGTGCTTATAATATTAAAACATCTTGTAGTAAGGTGAAGTGCATTTGTTGTGTGTATTTGTAGGAAAACACAGTAGTCAATTGCACACGTCACAATGTGAAGGACAGCCATGAAGCAAATTACCAATTTATCTGGAGGATTTTTGTCACAGATATTGAAACTACCTTCTCTTCTCTTTTCAAATAATGCCATAAGATCTATCTGAGAAGACTAATGAAGCCTCAGTTTAAGATCTCATCCAAAGGACTGTATCTCTGACAATGCATCACTTCTTCAGCACTGACCTAGATTGTCAGTGATCTTAGGTGTTGAGCTCAAAGTCCTGTCACAGGCTTGAAAATAAAAGTTTCATCCCAGATTCAAGAGTGCCACAAACTGAACCTGGCTAACAATCTTACCTTAGAACAGTGATAAGGTTGCCCAACAAAATACATTTTCTTGATTGAATATTTCTTGATTTACGCCATCGAGCACAGACGTACCTAGACGAGTGAGAATGGTTTGGGGAGGGGCTGCTTTTTGACAGCCCCGTGGGCCACAGGTTGGCCACCGCAGGCTTAGAGTATCTTTGGTTATGGGAACTTTAGCATTGCTGGTTTATGAAATAAACTTTAAAGAACCCAGTGTTTTTGCAAATTGAACACTACTTTACCAAAATTAGCAAAACTGTTTTATGTTGCAGGATAACTGTACCTGTAAGCAAAGCATTTCGCTTGAAATATTGAGTGGTTTAGATGCAAATTGTGAATATTTTGTTTTGCACTGTGTTAAGAATCTACAATCTGTGCTTGAATTTTGGCTTTGTGGTTAAAGGCAACCAACCCACATAAATCATTTCATTTAATGTGCATCAGAGATAGGTTTAAAATGAGAACCAATACTGAGAACTAAGGTCAGGAAGCATTTCTTCACACAGAAGGATGTGTGTGTGAACTCACTTGGTTAATTGTGTGAAGCGCTCTGAGACATCCTCCCGATATGCAAGACGTTATGTAGATTCTTGTTGAGAAACTATTGACTGTTCTGGCCCAGAAATCGGAAGAGACATAATCAGCAGAGATGTAAAATGAGAAATGGTGCAAAACTTGGGTAATAGAGATATCGAGGGATATGGCAAATGGGTGGGGCATTGAGATTAAAATACCTGACAAGATGTAAAACTAGAACAGACTCGATGGGCTGAATGACCTCGTTCATGAATTGAATAACTAATTTCATCTGGAGAACTGTTGGGTAGGACACAATAGAAACTCCATTGCCTTTTCAAATAGGCTCATGGGATTTTTTAACAACCACTGATCCTACAGTCTCACACTCACAGATACCACTTACCCTGACTCAACTAATTCTATCTGATCTGTGAGTCCATTTAAAAGTTTATTGCAAAGTACCCATTATTGGAAGTAAAAGGTGAAATATTTGAATTATCATTCAAAGTGAATGCTGTAAAAGAGTACAGACATGCATTTGTCTGTTTTTTCAGCCTGGCTCAGTTGGTAGCACACTTTCCTCTGAATCAGAAGGTTGGATGTTTAACCTCTCCATTAGGACTTTGAGTACATAGGCTGACACACCAGTGTATTGCTGGGATTTGTGGCATTGTCAGAGATGCGGTGCTTTGGATGAGACGTTTAACCAAAATCCCATCTGCCTGTTCAGGTGGGTGTTAACAGATCCCATGATGTTATTTGAAAAGGCAATGGAGTTTCTCTCTGTGTCCAACCCAACTGTTCTCCAGATGAAATTAGTTATTCAATTAATGGCTATTTGTGGGACCATGCTGTGTACAAATTGACTGCTCTGTTTGTCCACAAATACACAGTCATTTCACTTTGCAGAAACTTTGTGTAGGGCTTTGAGATGTTGGGAACTGCATAAGTGCTATTTCAAATGCGATGATGATTATTATTATTAATTATTCTCCCAAAAGAAAACTAAAAGATGCTTTCACTTCATTGCTACACAACATATTTGCCTCTTCCTTTTTGTGCTGCCAGCTGGTGGGTTCAGGTGTATAGAGTTCATAGTTCTGCCTGGATTGCAGATATCTGTGCGAGTATTGCACACAATTTCACCCACAAAATATAGTCAATTCACTTTACAGTATATTCCTTAAAGCGCATTGAGACGTCTCGAATACATAATAAAGACCTATATCAAATGCAAGGATTATTATTATAACTTCTCTTTACCTGTTTTCAGTGGGCAGTTTGCAATAGTGAAAAAATGCACCGAGAAAAGCACGGGAGTGGAGTACGCAGCAAAATTCATCAAAAAACGACGCTCCAGGTCCAGCCGGCGAGGAGTGAGCCGTGAAGACATTGAGCGAGAGGTCAACATCTTGAAGGAGATACAGCATCCAAATATAATCACCTTGCATGACGTTTATGAGAATAAAACAGATGTCATTCTCATTCTTGAACTGTAAGTAAAATTTACTTTTTTTTCAAGGTCGGTTAACTTTCATTTATAAGGGGTGACATCCAGTGGCTCAGCGTATTTACTGGGAGCCATTCATATTTCACTCAGAGCTTGTTATGTGCAATTTGGCACAAAATGCACAGATGGCAACTGAACTCGAACGTTTAATGAGGGGAAGCTCCTGCTTTATCTCGTGAGAAGTGAAGTGTGGAAAATGTGACATATTCTTGTGCTGAGCATTGACTAAACCAGTTGCAAATATTTCCCCCAAGTAAAATTGTGTTGGAATTGGTAACTCTTTGTGCCTTCTGAATTGCTCATAAAATGGCTTAGTTGAAGGAAAGCAGGCTTTCATTTTTAGTAGAGAATTGGTGGCATTTGATATCTAGCTGCATTCTTTCTGTTCTATTCCTTTAAAAATGTGGCAATTGGCTTTTTAAGATGCTATTTTCTGCATGGGATTAGGCTCATTAACCCCTCGATTTGCCACTTCTAACCTTAACCGTAACCAAAGTAATTTACTAAATCACTCTGGATTTGACATAACATGTAGGAGCAGGAGTAGGCCATTCGGCCCTTTGAGCCTGCCCCGCCATTCAATCATGGCTGATCTTCTCATCTAACTCCAGCTAATAACCTAACCCTGCCTTATCCCCATATCTCTTAATACCTTTTGCAATAAGAAATCTATCTCAGTCTTGAATATGTTCAAGGACTGAGCGTCAACAACCCTTTGGGGTAGTGAGTTCCATATATTCACCACCCTTTGAGTGAAGCAGTTCTTCCTCAACTTTTGACATTTCAGAAATAAGAAACCTAGATGCATGTTTTACATCGATGACAACCTATGAGGTTTAGCTGGTTAGACTCCAGCAGTACCCCAACGTACACTCTCAGGTCCCCAAGTCTTGACTCTTGCCAATGAGTGCCTAATATTTTCTGGAATTAGGTAAGCAAGATACGTCCCTCCAGGGAGAGATTGTGCATTCCATTCCAATAATCTATCTCTGGAATTTCCATGTGTAGGTGGGATGCATATAATTCTCGGTTTGGATATGCTTAAGCATGGTGATGGGTTTCCGAATGTGTCTGACACCCAATTGACCAAAAAAAAAGAAATGATTGGTTTAGCTGGTAGACTCCATTCAGTGTAAAACTGAGCCTCACTGACAGGAAGGTCCCAGATTTGATCCCTTGGATCCTGCTATTAGAAGGGGAAAGAAATCAAAATCTCCAATTAGTGGGTTTGTTGCGATCACCAAGAAAAGCTAGCTTGGCTTTTATTATAGTTCCAGATTAGAAATCGTTCTGACTGAAATATAATGGTTGTCTACAAGGTTCTTTGGTTGCTTCCAGCTAATTCTACCTGAATGCAAGACACAACGTGGTGAGCTATTATTGTAGAATATTTACAACACAGAAATGGCCTGTCACCCTTCACCTCTGCGCTGGTGCTAACTCCTGTGCTGGAGCTATATACCCTAATCCCATTCCCTCTCAGCTCAGCTTCATTTGTGAAAAGTCATCTAACCACCCTCTGTGTAACAGAAAACTTCTTCCATCCTCCCCCGCCTCCTACTTCTGATGATTTCCCCCAGGTTATCCCTTTGGTGACTGTCTGAGTGATCAGTGGATGAATATTAGGATAAGGATTCTGAATCTAGAATACAATAATGAGCAAACCAAGATCCTCCTTTTACTATATTCTATTAAAATTGCCCCAAATCTCTTATTCATTGGTTCATATTGCCAGACCTGCACTGCAGATGCACAGACCAGCCAGCCTGGTCCTTGTCGATTGGCAGCACTTAGAGAAGCAGACATGCTTCCCATTAACTCTGCAAGCCAAAGCCCTAATAGGTAAAGTGGTCCTAGCTGAACAAGCAGCGGGAAGCTTGCCAGTGCTCACAATGGTAAGCTATGTGGTTTTATCTGGTTAGACTCTAGCAGTACACTATGTACAGCTTGCCCTAGTAAAAGCTTTTTGTGCAGTGAATCTAAATAATTATACCACATGATATGCCATTATTGCAATGAGAGCGTTGAGTGTTTATGTACTCTATTGTTTAAAAATAAATTTAATCAAGGGAGGGTGTTTGTGCATATGTAAGTCAATACATTCATGTCAAGTTAATATTTGTGCTTTTTTATTTACAATGGTTGTTGGTCAGATCTGATTCAATATGCTGAGTGTTTTAAACAAAACCCTGCTGGAGTTGCTTCTACAAAGCCTAATAATAGTGCAAAGAGCTATATCGAAGCACGACCTATGACTGAGGATCTGGTAGAGAGCTGTCCTTATACAGATATCATTACTCTTTCTTCAGCCCCTCTTCCACCCACAAAAAAACATTTGAATGGGCTGCTTTATTGTTTTGACGTGTAATTTTATTTCAAGCTAGCATTAATTTAAAATGTCAATGGAGAGAAATTGAGTGTTAAGGCAGGTAGTGTGCAAGCAAGTGTTCCATAACTCTCAAGAAAAGATAGCAACAACAACAACTTGGATTTATATAGCGCCCACCACGCCGGACTGTGTCTCAGAGCGCTTCACAGTAATGGTTCCCGGGGCCGAGCCAGGGGGAGGGGGAGGAAGGTGACCAAAGGCGCGGTCGAAAAGAAAGGTCTTCAGCCGAGACCTGAAAATAGGAAGAGAGGGGGTGAGGCGAAGGGAGTGAGGAAGGGAGTTCCAGAGCCCAACATTGGTGAAGCTTGATCTCGAGATGGGGGAGGTGACTGTAAGCATGATTGAATAGGAAGGTCTTTAGGTACGATCTGAAGATGGGCAAGGCAGTAGGATTGAGGCAGGGAGTTCCATAATTCTGGAGGGTAGTGGCTGAAAGCATGGTTGTCAGTGGTGGAGTCGAGGAGACAAGGGACGTGCTGGAGGCCAGAGCCAACTGAGCGAAGTTGTTGTGGAATGGGGGGGGGAAGAGATCGGGAGGTGCTAGGGCATGAGGGGATTTGTACAATCTCAAAAGCATGAGTGTACACCTGCTGAGTTTCAATGTCTAATTCTGTTTGAAGTCAAAACAACATTTTATATTTCTTTCCTGGTAGTTTATTAAGCTCCTCTATTAAGCTTTCGTGATTACACAGAATGACCTCTTCAGTTTCTGTTTTTCCCCTCAAGCCTTCTGACCTGATTTTCACCTGTGTTTTTTTATGTGAAAAGCTTCACTGGCTGATGAGGCACCGGATGTTGGCTCCAGGTGTGAGCTTTCTCTCCCACCCCCCCACACCCAACCCTATCCTGAACTCTTATCAAGGTGATCAATCCTCAAAGTGACATTTAGACTTGCCAAACTGCAGAGTGTGGCATTGTTGTCTCTTTGACAGACTTAGGCCTGTATTCCACTATTAAAAATAAAAATAGAACTTTACTTCTGGCCATTTGAACTTCTCTTCTGGGGGCATTCAGGAAGGAGGCTTAAGGAAGGGAGAAAGCCAACAAATGTAATCATCTATGGAAGCTGCACTTAATCTGCCAGTGATTAAATAAACTATTAGAAAGTTTCATAAGAAAATAAATTGAATGAATTTTCCATTCAAATTCTGCCTTTTTTTTTTGCAACCCAACAAAATCGTTGGATGCAGCTTTTGTTAAAATCAGTGCATTTATTAACATTGAATTTGCCAGATATTGGGGAGTGGCTGGTACATTGCCCTGGTGCATTACACGGAGTCCAAGGTTGGAATGTGCAGGTTTGCTGTGTATGTGGGAAGTTCAGGTGAGGAAGGGATCAATTCAGCTGTGATACTGCCCTTCACTAACTCCTGCTATAACGCACCTCACGTGAGGCCACTGATAATATATAATCAATTCACTTTACAGTATAATCTGTGAAACGCTTTGAGACATCTGGAAGACGTGAAAAGCACTATATCAAAGGCAAGGATTATTATTATTATTATAACTCAGGTGTCCTGTGTTCAGGAAGTGGGGATAACTTGCTGCCTCCTGGGGTAGACAAGCTCACTTATTGAGCATGTGAACAGTACGCAGGAAGCCAGCTAGTCAGCTCCAACTGGTCTTGTGCACATTTCTAGCACGCAGGAAGCAGCCAGTCTGTACCAGGAACTGGGAGTGATATCAACTGAGAAGCAGGCTCAGTGGCTGTTGTCTTTGCTCAGTCCTGTTGTAACACAGGGTCTAATTAGATGGACCCAAAAGTCTGATCTAACAGGGTCATCTTGTATTAAGAACAAGCATGTAACCATTTGGTGCTCACAGAACTGCACGAAGCGCCACCTTCAGGATGAGTCTGGAGCAAAAATATTTTGTGTAAGAATTAGGTCGAAAACAAATTAAGAATATAAATTCATTTTTAATTTGTTGTTTGTTTTTTTTCAAAAAGAGTTTTGCTGCAAAATTTTTTAAAAAGAAGTCTGCTGGAAGTCTATTGTAATTCACAAAGCAGCTCAGAAGTGCTGATCACAACCCCGTCATTGAAATCCTCCAGCATTATTTTGATGTAATGAATACTGGGGCATATTAATGACACCAAACAATTAGAGATTAAAGGTGTAGTGTTTGCTGCATAAACTGTCTCACCTAGTGACGGAGCAATATGAATATTAGACTTGTACCAGTGCCCTAATTGAATTTTCTGTTGCCGGCCTGTGAGACATAAGTGCTGTTTGGTGTAACGCTGAATATCGATCATTAATAATCTGATATAGCGCCTTTCACGTTGAGAGAATGTCTCAAAGCCCTTCACAGGATTTTATTGCAACGTGTAATGAGACTATTTGAGATGTCTCGGCAATAAGATAAAGTACTCCATCAAATGCAAGGATTATTATTATTTTGTGGGTGAATGCAGCAGCCAATTTTGTGCTCAGCAATGTCCTGCAAACGGCCATGAAGTGAGTGATTAATTTTATTTGGGGGATTGTTGGCCATGACACTGGGAGCACTCCCTTCTATTATCGAATAGTGCCACAGGATCTTTAATGTCCATCTGAACAGGAAGAAGTGACCTCAATTTAACGTCTCATCTGAAGGATGGCACATCTGACAATGCATCACACCCATAGGATTGCATTAGATTTGCAGCCTAGACTGTGGGCTTGAACCCACAACTTTTTGATTCAAAGGTGAGAGTGCTGCCAACTGAACCTGGCTGTCACTGAGGGATTACTATGGTAATCGCATAACAAAGACAGATGCTCCATTTACATTTTCACAGCAGGGCAGCCCAGTTCACAGAAGGGTTGTGTGAGGCTGGCCAGAATATTTCATGGTATTAGTACCAATTTTATAACCACAAAAACTACAGTGCAAATATTTGCTTTAAGACAATACCAAAGAACCATTGGACAGCATTCTGATGTCGCTCTGCAAATATTACGATGTCTTTTATAATATTCATGTGCCTTGTTTTTGATTTTTTTAAAAAAAACTAGTGGTTTAAGCCTTCAACTACTAGTTTGATCATTTGAAGAACTATACTCCAATTTTCTCTTCCCTTCCCTTCCAACTAACCACATGGAGGTGGTAGACAGAGCGATTCCTGTCCAGCTTTCACTCAGTACCTTTCCACACAGACTGGGAGCTGAGCACGGTAGGTTCCCAACCTGCCTCAACTACTCTGGTATCTTCATCGTGACAGCCTTGAAAGGAAAGATGTTATTTTGCCACCACCTCTGACTCATTGTCTTCAAAACTCCAGTGCAGTGTTGGGGGAAAGCTACATTATCAGAGATGCCATCCTTCAGACGTGGCGTTGAACTGAGGTTCCATCTATGCCTTTTCAGGTGGACAATAAAGATCCCACAGCACTATTTGAAAAGTGAAGGGAGTTTCTCTTAGTGTCCTGACCTTGCTTTGGTCATTACTTTCATTGATGTTTGCTATTGGGATATTGCTGTGCGTGAATTGGCTTGTTCGCCTTCAAAATACACAAAATCATTACATTTTACATCAATTCCAGTGAAGGCCTTTGAGAATGTCTCAACAATATGATAACGAGCTGTATCAAATGCAACGGTTAGTATTTTGTCTCTTGAGTCAACAGGCTGAGTTCAAGCCGTATGTCATGACTTGAGCCCAGAGTCAACAACAGCAACAACTTGCATTTACGCCGGGTGTCCACACGTGTGCTTCATTATATCACCGAGGGAGCATCAGCGGTGTCCTTCAGATGAGATATTGAAGTCCAATTTGCCTGTTGCAGTGTACATTAAAGATCCAGTGGCACTATTTGAAATGAGGAGGGAGTTTCTCCTTGGGTCCTGGCCAACAATTCTCCTCATTAATTTGTCATTCGCCTTAACAACTATTTGTGGAATGTGCTGTGCTCAAAGTAGCTGCTTCATTTGCCTATTAAAATCATCGCCATACTTGACAGGAAGAACCTTTGAAGCACTTTGATACGTTTCAGTGTTACAGACTTGATTCAATTGTCATGTTAGTCTCTTTAAAATCATAGAATTTTACAGCAGTTAGAGGCCATTTTGCCCATCGTGTTACTCCTGGCTACCCTTGCAGTCCTACTCCCCTGCCTATTCCCCATGCCCTTTTATATTTTTCTTTTTCAAATATTTGTCTTGATTTCCTTTTAAAAACTATTAATGCTTGAAGCTTGAACCACTATATGTTGTAGGGCAGTCCATGCCTAATACAATTCTTTGTATTTTTTAAATCACTTAAAACTCGCTCTTTGTTGGAAGAAGTTTGNTTTTTTAGAAAAAAGTTTTAGGTAATTTAGACCTCAACATCTGAGCCTTTGCACAGTCCTCATATACATATCTGTACAAGTCATATACATATCTGTACAAGTCAATCAAACTGAAGTAATAAAATGTATTGTGCTCAGATTTTTGTTCTTAATCTAATCCGTGTTGTATAAAGTGGAGATAACCAACAGCAACTGGCAGATACACTAACCATCTCCTAGCCAATGTATGCAATCGGAGATAAGGCTTGAATTGGAAAAAGGTCACTGTGGCTGGGAATGGGAATACATCAGGAGGTACACCATACACTTGCTTCTAATTTCTCATAATTGTAACTAACATATGACACCTCTTACCTTTGATAGCTCCACTCTTAATTCTGCTGTGTTAATTGCCTCACACTCGTCCTCGAGCTCGGCCGCTCCTTATGTTTGATATAGCTCCTTATCACACTGGGAGGATGTGTCAAAGTGCTTCCACAGGAATTAATGTAAAGTGTAGTGACTATATTTTCTAGGCGAACCCTGCTGGTAATTTGCACACAACAATGTCCCACAAAGAGCCATGAAGTGAATGACCAATTTTATTTGGAATTGTTGGCCAGGGCACCAGATAAAGCTCCCTTCTCTTTTCAAGTAGCGCCATGAAGTCTTTAATGTCCACCTAAACAGGTAGATGTGAAATCAGTTTCACAGTTTATCCAGAGAATGGCTAACAATATAGCACTCCCTCAACGCTGCATCAGAGGGTCACTGACTGGGCTCCTCTGGATTTCTAGGTGTCTGTGATATTAACCTGTGACATCGATGCAACAACCAACTAACAATCAGTGCAAACGTATTGTGTAACATTTAATGTATAAACTGGGTTTTATATAACAAACATTTTTTAAATGATCCAGGTTTATGTTCTCAGTTGATTATTGAAGTAATGAATGCAAAGTACGCATGATCCAAATAATGTAGTGTGTGGGGCTGGGGTGAATGGCATACAGCCTGTTTAGAATAATAAATATACCTTGCATTTCCTTGGGTCTTCAAGACATCTCAAAGCACTTTACAGAATATACCGTAAAGAATTGGGAGAAAGCACTCAAAATCCATGGATTATTATTAAAAGACCATTTGTTTTTATAGCCAGAAACTGTATATGTTTAATCGTACTACAACGTTTCAATAAACACAGACAACTGTGTATGGTGTATAGCGGTAGTCATTACTGCCTGTTACTCTGAGGTTGTAAAGCTTGGGTTGCTGCAGTGTTGATTGAGCAGACATTGGCTGGCTGGTTGGACGTGACATGCAGGGACACGAAGACGAGTGCAGCATGTTGATGCACCTCTTAGAAGTCATTCGTCTTGGTATTTCAGTAATTTTTATAAAATTGTTAAATACGGCTTTCTAAAACAGCCTATGAAAAAAAACATTAAACATTGAAGCGGTGTGAATGGGAAGACTGGACAAAAGGCTGTAATCCTGTTCTTCCAGCTCTGGGGTTGAGGCTTGAATCCATCTGTCTAATATGGTACATGTTCCTTTTATAGCTTGGAAAATCCTAACTAGAATGAATTTCCCAGTGGATGTGAGCGGGCAGCATAAAGCTGTCCAGAATTCAGGAATAAATTGCATTGGATGTGCATGAGATTCAGAGGCATGGGAAGGAAATGCCACACTCGTGTAACAGAGGGTCTTGTTATGAGGTTGGAGCAGAGTACAAGAGGATTTTAATTCCATCTAACATGCCAACGTTTGTGAGCTGAGAGCTCTTGACACTTAAAAACTATTTTATGGGAGGAAAGGAGAAGAAATTTAAAAGGGCAAGTATTGATTTTACAAACCGTCAAAGTATAGTTTTATCTCCTTGTGTTTTTCTCTACAAGAAAGGGGGGGGGGCAAGAGAAATAATCCTGTTAGCTTCAGATAAAAATCTAATTATGCAATTGACTGTTGGCTGTTGAGAACCTTTGTGTAATTGGGATTTTCTTCTTAGAAATCCAGACTTGAATAGTTCATGTTAATTAATATTTAACTGTACAGCGCCTTGGGACGTCCTCCCGACGTGACAGGCGCTATACAAATGTAATCTTGTTGTGGTTGTACATACAAAAACCTACTTACCCATAATATATGAGGACAAGATGTAGCCTATTCGTATAAAGCTCGAACCACTACAGGGTCTCAGTCAATGATGTTAACTCTCAGCTTTATGTGAAGCAACTAGTTTGAGGGTCTTGAAATGGATTATATTTATATAATGGAAATGGCTTTATGCAGATGGAAAAACAAATCCTTTGACTTTAACCAAACTTCTAACTTTGAACAAGAACAATTAATTATTCTGGCGGAACTCGATTGGGATATTGCATTATGCTTTTTTTTAAGATACACAAATTAAGGTTGGCATCTTAATTTCACTATCTTTTATACGATTAGTATGGATTTTTGTGCTTGAGAACTGTGTTGATGTTTTCACATGCATAGCCACTCTTGATGTGTTGTGCACTATATTCATGGAGCACCTGATATAAACTGTACAGGACCATCTGTGTGATATCCAGAGCTACTCAGGGTTTGCTAGGCAAATCTGTATCTGAGAAATTCTTTAGCATCTGATTGTAATATAATAATTATTATAATAATAATGATTTGGTCACTCAGTCCACGACTGTCTGTGGGACACTGCTGTGCGCAGTTGGCTGCCGCATTTTGCTGACAAAATAGAGTCAGTCGACTTTGCGATATGTTCTGTGAAGCGCTTTGAGATGTCTCAAAGACGTGATACGGCTCTATATTAATGCAGGGATCATTATTATTATCATTATTGTTATATCTAGTGCAGTGGTCACCACCTTGTGGCATTTTTGATTTGTGGCATGAGCCAAGAAATATTCAATCAAGAACACTTATTTTGTTGGCCGACCATAAAGGTTATTCTGTTGGCCGCCACTGCTCTAGTCCACTGTATGTATTACAGTCCTGCACATTTAACCTTTTTTTTAAACAAAAACTAAATTGTCAGGGTATCTGGAGGTGAGCTGTTTGACTTTCTGGCTGAGAAAGAGTCCTTGACCGAGGAGGAAGCCACTGAATTCCTGAAGCAGATCCTCAGTGGAGTCCAGTACCTTCATTCCAAGTGCATCGCCCACTTTGATCTCAAGGTACGTTGTGGAAAGTGTGTACTTTTGTAGTTTTATTTATTTTTTAGAAAAGGAAAAATGTATTACAACAACAGATAACCATTAAATAATAATATAATCCTTGCATTTGATATAGCGCCTTATCACGTCTTTGAGACGTTGGGGAGGATGTGCTACACTCCGCACCCCCATCACCCCAGTTCTTGCCAGGTTCCACTGGCTGCCTATTGCAGAATGGATCAATATCAAGATTCTCACTTTCAAATCTCTTCACACTCTGGCATCTCCCTACGTCTCCGATAGGCTCACATCCCACTCCTCTACCTTTGCTCAGCTGGCTCTGATCTTCTGCATGTCCCTCGCCCCTCTGTTTCACAGTTAATAATAATAATAATAATACTTGCATTTGATATAGCGCTTTTCACGTCGGGAGGACGTCCCAAAGCGCTTCACAGAACACACTGTAAAGTGAATTGACTGTATAATTGTGGGCGAACGCGGCAGCCAATTGCGCACAGCAATGTCCCACAAACAGTCGTAGATTGAAAATGACCAATTTATTATTGTTTTGTTTTTTGGAGGGATTATTGGCAGTTGGCAGCCAACCGTGCTTTCAGCCAAATCTCTGTAACTCCCTGCTCTCCATTTTCCCTCTTCTTTGTCCGTCTTTAAGTCGCACCTGAAGACTTTCATCTTTGACCGTGTCTTAGGTCACCTCCCCTCCCTTTCTGGCTCAGCTTCAAGCCACACCACTGTTAAGCACGCTGAGATGCTTTCTGTGTGAAAGGCATGATATAAATGTATATTATTACATTACTGTGCTGTGTATTATTGTTGTGTCAAAGCGCTTTGCACAGATGTCTGGGAGCCCGAACTGGGGGTTGGTGGGAGCTGAGGAGGAGCAAGAGGGAGTGGTGGGGCGGTGAGGGGGTGAATATTAACCAAAAGCGTAGTCAAAAAGAAAGGTTTTAAGGCAGGTTTTAAAGGTTGGGGGGGTGGCGTGGGGAGGTGAGGTGAGATGGAAGGTCTCTGGGTGGAGATCCCATGGGTGGGGCCGGAATTTATGAACACATTTTGAATTCATTTTATGTGTGAGCTGGTATAAAATCTGTCACCATCACTCTTGCACTCTGCTAGTAGAATTTTTCTTGGTATTTTAATGACAGAATGACCGTTTTAACATTCACATTGTCTAAACAAAAGAGGCACTTCACAGGGTTTTACTGAACCCATAAACTAGAAATTTACAGCACAGCGGCATCACTTGTCAAGGTCAGAAACAATGTCCTCTCTCTCCCTGACCAGGGCTCCCTCTACCTCTTCGTCCTCCTGGATCTCTCTGCTGCGTTTGACACAATTGACCACTCCATCCTCCTCCACCGCCTCTCCTCCCTCATCCACCTTAGTGGGACTGGGTTTTTTCCTCCCGCCTCCACCCAGTCACGTGTGGTGTACCCCAGGGCTCCATCCTTGGCCCCCTCCTCTTTCTCATCTATACGCTCCCTCTTGGTGATGTCATCTGCAGACATGAGGTAAAATTCCACATGTATGTGGACGACACACCAATCTACTTCTCCTCCAGCTGTAACTCCAGATTCGTTGATAATTCTCTCAGCTTGTCTTGCGGACATCAGAGCCTGGACAAGCAAAAACTTCCTACAACTCAAAGTTGACAAGACGGAAGCCATACTCATTGGCTCCCGTCAACGTCTTCTATCCTACAGTTCTGACCTCCTCAACCTCCCCAGTCTATCCCTCAAACTTAGCGAACCAGTGCACAATCTAGGCATCAGGTTCGACCTACAGCTGTCCTTCCTTCCCCACATCCGTTCCCTGACCAGGAGTGCCTTTCTTCACCTCCGGCACATTGCCCGCCTCCAGCCGTACCTTACCCTGGATGCAACCGAAACACTCGTCCATGCGTTCGTCACCTCCAAATGCCGTCTTTGCTGGTCTCGCCAGCTCCACCAAGCGCAGGATCCAACTGATCCAAAGCTTTGCCGCCCACATACTCACCCGTATAAACTCCATACCCTCATCACACCAGTTCTAGCCAAGCTCCACTGGTTCCCCATCACTGAATGGGTAGATTTCAAGATCCTCACACCAGTTTTCAAATCCCTTCATGCCCTGGCACCTCCCTACCTCTCTGACCTGCTTACACCAGCCCACTGCCTCCACTTGACTCAGTCCTTCTGCATATCCCCCGTGCCCTCCATTCTACCATTGGTCTCCGCGCTTTCAGCCACTAGGCCCTGAAACTCTAGAACACTCTTCCTCTATCCCGCCGCCTTGTGCCTTCCTTCCCCATTTTCAGGTTGCATTTGAAGACCTTCCTATTCAACCGTGGCTATGGTCACCTCCTCCTCCCCCTGGCTCGGAGTCGTGCTCCGCCACAGTCAAGCTCTCTGGGACCCTAACCTGCGTGAGGGGCACTATATAAATGCAAGTTGTTGTAGGTCATTTTATCATTGTGTCTGTGCTGACTCTGTGGTGCTTGGAGATGGATTGACAACATGATAAGGTGCTATATCAAATGTAAGGATTATTAGTATAAAAGATCAATACAGTCGAACCTCAGTCTAACGAACCACCCTCAGCATAGGCAGATAAGATTGTTATATCAGGATGTTCATTATCGTAGGGTTTGGTGCAAAAATCGGGTCTTGTCATTGGGATCAATTACAGCCAGGAGTTTGTTATATAAGCAGGGTTCATTATAGTGAAGTTTGACTGTAGTGCAGTACACATTTGAGTGCACTGTTCAGTTATCGTGAATTTGTTTTAGTTTTGTATAACCAATTGTTTGGTGAGAATTGTAATTGTTGCTATGTTCATCGATGCCATTAATGAGATTTAAAAAGAAAATAAACAGATCTTTTAATGTTTCTTCCTCCCCTTCATACGCACTCACACACGCAACTCTTTCCCTTTCTTTCCTGCAGCCTGAAAACATCATGCTACTGGATAAAGATTCTGCCAGTCCACGGATTAAACTCATTGACTTCGGCCTGGCTCATCAAATAGATTTTGGGAATGAATTCAAAAACATCTTTGGAACTCCAGAGTTTGTAGGTAGGCTTTTTTCTCATCTACAAATTCAACCCTTCGATCTGCCCTTCAAGTTCTCTGGGAAGCTACTCTGCGTGAGGGGCGCTATATAAATACAAGTTGTTGTGCTTGCCCTGTCCGTGGGGCTGTGAGCTCAGCCTGCTCGTCCATGTGGAAAAAGTTCCATTCAGCGTTACGTGCAGCGCTGTTGGCAATGTGTGACTATAATCAGAAATTCTGTTAGTGGCCCACATCACCGAAGGCTAATGCTAAACAGAAATTTAGTCTGAATAGGTGTCAATAATCTACTCTGATGATGTTTCATTTAAATACAATCTGGAGCATGGTGGTGTGTGGGGGAGCTGTAATATGCAGTGGCACCGTCATGAGACGTGAACTCTAATCCCTCTCACTGAATGAGATTGGCTTGTCTTCATTAGGGAGGCAGCAGGGGAAGAGTAGACACCTTCCCTTGGAAGTGGTGATGGGTTATGTTGGGGAGTGGAGGGGTTTGGGGTAGAGAAACGGAGAGAAAGCAAGCAAGAAAGAAAAATAGGCTGAGTCATTCCCTAGGCAGCTATTGTGGTACAATTTTAGCGCTGGAACACTCAATCCATGCAAGCAATTAAAATGATCAATTAGGACTTCAGGCCAAAGCCTGAGTTTGTGGCTATTATATGGTACGATACGCCAATTGTGTCGACTGATCCAAGAGGGAATTAAACAGCTATCTGGTGAAGGAATTGATTGATGAGTGTGAGAATTCCAGTGAGGATTTTGTTTTACTTTGAGACAAAAGGAGGAAGTGCAGCTTTATTTTCCGGTGCTGAGAATTCCAAGGTCCCGATTAGACAACAACAAGATTCCATTTATAAAGCGCCTTTCACGTCAGGAGGACAATTAATATGACTCTTCCTGTCGGGAATGCAGAGGCCCAACATGGTTTTCCGACAAAGGATCGCACTCAGAAATTTTGAGAATCTATTTTGTGTGTGTGTGTCTGTCTGTGTTTGCACAGCTCAAGCAACCTAATAATGACTGCTTCAGAGGCCCTGACTTTGAATCCCAGTCTCAAAATCTGTTCCCCTCAATGTTATATTTAGTTGTGGTTCATAGTCCTTACTAAGCACTGGTACACTCAATCCATGCCTCTCACCTGAAGAAGGCAAATGGATGGAAGTGTTGATGTAACCAACCCAAATATTTGAATGAAATGTGTGTAAATTCTATCATTCTGCCCATAACTCACAAGCAAAATTTCAGAATTTATGAAAGAAACTCATACTTTTTCTTTATATTTTTAAGCTCCAGAAATTGTGAACTATGAACCTCTCGGGCTGGAGGCTGATATGTGGTGAGTGAATATTCAGTCTGTATAATAACATACAAAAAAAATAATAATAATAATCTAAGAAACGTGTGCAAAATCATAACGCTTTATTCTCTTTCCTGTATTTCAGGAGTATTGGTGTCATAACCTACATTCTGTAAGTATTATTCAGCAAGAAATAAATGTTTGTTTTCTCAGAGCTGAAGGTGTGGAGTTAAAGTCTATCACAACATATTATTGTTTATGTCCAGGAAAAAAAACAATTATGTCCTCATACATTTGGAGCTCCAAATGATTTGGTATTGGTTTCAATAAGGAATATGAACCACCCTGATATTGCAACATCATTGGCAGTTAAAGTCAACACTGCTCCCTGCCACTGCAGTGTGTAAAACTGAGCCACTTAATCCCAATAGATTTGGTTCTCGGGTCTCTGCTGAGTCAGCTGATATGAAGATAAGGCAGTATCTTGCGTGGGAACTGCAATTCGTTTCAGTGCCTATAATAAACAATAATCCTTAACATTGTGGAGTCCTGGAGCGTATTGGTTAGAGCACTCAACTCGTAAACCCTAGTTCAATTCCCGGGCAGGGTGAAACGTTAGGCAATTTTCCTTACTTCACACACCTCTGTTTACCGAGCAGTAAGTAGAAACCCGGTTGTTAGTCGATTGGTGGATCGCTTTCCCTTTGAAAGCTTTTTTAAAAAAATAATCATTTCGTCACGACTGTTTGTGGGACACTGCTGTGCACGATTGGCTGCCGCATTTCACTCACAAAATATACAGTGAATTCACACTAAAGTATATTCTGTGAAGCGCTTTGAGACTTCTCAAAGACGATAAGGGGCTATATTAATAATAAGGATTATTATAATATTTCCATGCTTTTCTTTTAGTTTGAGTGGTGCCTCACCTTTCCTGGATGAGACTAAGCAAGAAACCTTGGCCAATGTTTCAGCTGTGAACTATAGTTTTGATGAGGAGTTTTTCAGGAACACCAGCGGGCTGGCGAAGGACTTCATCCGGAAACTCCTTGTGAAAGATCCTAAGTAGGTCTTCAGTAGCACTTCATTATATGTGCATATTAATCACAGATCCATTCAAAACTTTTAAAAAAATTAAAAATTGTACATTGCTGGAAATGTGTGTGTTCATTTGGCTTGTACTTTGAAATAAATGGGGCTAGTAAACTTTCCACTATTTGAGCCTTTCAATAAAGTAATTTTGTTTTGAAAAGAAACTTGATAAATGTAGACAATGGATAAGATTGTCAGGGTGATGAACCCCTGAAACTGGGATTCAGTGCTAGGTATGCGACCATTGGGACCACAAACGTAAGAGGAAATCGTACATTAGACTAATTGATATGAAATGCACATCATAAATCTTATATTTACCGTTTTGTAGTCATGACCCTATGTCTAGATAACCTCAATCAAGGTGCAGTTTGTTCACTCCTTTCTCTAATGGGAAAAATATAGGATCTTGTCTGTGCTTTGATCACAACGAGAACATTCCAGCCAGGAAGACCATTTTGTCTTTAAAGTTAAAATTTTAAATTGATTGAGAAAGTAAACCCAGAATATTTTCAGATCCACCAAGGCAGCAGACCCAAGGGTTGTGAAGGGCAATATCAGGACAGACACTGAAAATATTTCTTTAATTAACGTAATTAACGACTGGCAGAGGTTACCAAGCAGTGTCATTGAGTCCAGGACCCTGGCCCATTTAATAAACAGCTTAATGCTGTTACTAGAGGATGGTAGGGTGGGTATTCTGGAGGATGAGTTCAAATGGGCAGGAGGGATTTCTTCAACTGAACCTTTCTTGTGATCTTGGAATGGAATGTGCACTCTCTCTCTCCTTGGAGAGACCACTCTGTTATTGAATTCTGGACAGTATTTTGCGCAGATTGGCAACAGCCAAGGCCTGAGGATCCTAGAGTGTGTTACGTACTCACAACACACTCTAGGATCCTCAGGCCTTGGCTGGAGTTGGCTGGAGTTCAGTCAGCTAAAACCATATAGCTTACTATGTTTATGGTTAAGCTAGTACCTTTATAAAAATATAGCAAACGTGGTGAGTGTGGTGGACTGCAGGCAGGGGGTGACCAATGTTGTTATGAATTCCAGGAATCTATCTCGCATCTGAATGCTATTTTACAATTCTGTTTTTAACTATGTATTTAACAGAAGACGAATGACTATTCAAGATAGTTTCCACCATCCATGGATCAAGGTGGGTTTAAAAACATTTATTGGAATCCTACAAATGTGCCTCTTCTTCATAAACCTGTCTTCATGAATTCAATGTAACAACAAAAATCATAATTGGTTCAAAAGCTTTACATTTGAGATGTCAGTCTCAGTTGGTAGCCCCTGAGTTCAAAACCCATGTCTGGACTTTGAACTCGTGTAGTCCAGACTGACACTTCAGTGCGATGCTGGGAAGGTCTGTAAACCAAGGTCCTGTCTGCCTTTTCAGGTGGACATTGAAAATCCTTGGTACAAACTGAAAAGAGAAGGGAGTTTTTCGTAGAGTCCTGGCAAACATTCCCCCAAATAAAATTGTCAATTTACTTCATAGCTGTTAGTGCGCAGGATGGCTGCCTCCTTCGCCTACAAAATACAGTCACTGTACTTCATTTGAGACATCCTCCCAATGTGAAAGACGCTGCACCAAATGTTAGAATTTTATAAAATAAACGGATGGTTACTATAACTCTGTTGCTCTATATCATTTTTGTGACAGGGGTCTAATTGTGTTTGTGACCGATACCAGTCAAGGGTCTATATTCTCGTTGTGACCAACAATAATCGGGGTCTGTACTGTCATAGTGACTGACACTAGTCAAGGGATCTATACTGACCCTAGTCAAGGAATCTGTACTGTTCACATAACTGACACCAGTCAGGGATCAGTAATGTTCATCTAAGCAGTCAGAGACGTCATTCTTTGTCATTTTAAACTTGAAATGTTATTTTTACAAGATCAACTGAGCGGTATTATAATGAGGGTTTCAGTAGAATTCTTGAACCAAACTAAAATGAAGGTAATCACACCGTCCTTTGAGAAACCTGTTATCTAGACTGCATTTCAGTGCAGTCAAGCCTGAGTGACCCAGATGATTGAACAAATAAAAATATTACATTTCTAAATGAGAATCTTTTGCAGTCTGGCTGTTTTAAATAAAAACATTTAAGATGTACACACAGACAAGGAGATGAGCAGCTGGGAGACTAAGTGAAGCTTTGTTGGAAGTTATTAAAAGGTGGCGGAGGGAGGGGGGGGTCAGTATATGCTCTTGATGTCTGGGGAGAACAGCCACCAATCCTTGTTTAATATTGGGCAAAGAGTAACGTATGGCTTTTGTTTCTGGGATACAGTGATATGAATTGCATCCGAGTGTTCTGTTTGCTGGTCATTTTTTTATTCTAAATTCTGTAGGATTTCAAATAAAACTCTACAGTTTTTCACTGAATTGAATCTTATCACGAACATCTACAGGGTGTTCACAAAGCCTGTTAGCACAGTGTGTTTTCTTTTCTACACTGCACTGATCAACAGCTGAAACATGTAATATATTTAGAAGTACTTAATTGCAATCAGTACAAGTATTGAACTGTATTTGAACGTCCAGAGGATCAGTGTGTGCATTATAATTTTCAAGGCAGATAATGATCCGTCGCCATGTTCAGTGCAACATCTTCCATAACACGGAGGGAGTGAGGAGGAAGTTACTGGTAACAGAAAATGTTACACTCAACTGCAACAGAAAATAAAAATTCATTGTAAGAAAAAAAAGCAGGGGTAACAGGACTCTTTGAACACCCTTGTAAATAAGAGGCAAGCCAAGTTTTCCTTGATTTCTCTGGGAAAAAGAGAAAAAGTCTTGAGGGGGAAGGGAAAACTTCCACTGGGGCAATTATAATGTACTCTCTTCTGGCTTGTGCTGGGGCATAGCTGTACAATGCCTTTGGGACTGTATTCAACAAGATCCTCTGCCCTGATTATTTTGCTCTTCTGACTGGGGGAAGTAAGCAATAATAATAATCCATACATTTAATATAACGCCTTTCACACCAGGAAGATAATAATAATCCTTGCATTTGATGTAGCGCTTTTCATGCCGGGAGGACGTCCCAAAGTGCTTCACAGAACACACTGTAAGGTGAATTGACTGTATATTTGTGGGCGAACGCGGCAGCCAATTGCGCACAGCAATGTCCCACAAACAGTCGTAGATTGAAAATGACCAATTTTATTATTGTTTTTGGTTTTGGAGGGATTATTATTAGTCGTGTGGAGTAAGGAAACTTGCCCAAGATGTCTCCAAGCTCTTCACAGGAATGACTGTAAAGTGTACAAAATGCTTATAGCTTAACAGTCTTTATGCCCACTTAGGGTTAAGTCTATTAATATGCAGTTATTTACTATTACTAGCAAAACCAATAATTGTTAACTTTGTCCGTGCAACATTTCAGCCAAAGGACACTCAGCAAGCTCTCAGCAGAAAAGCCTCCGCTGTGAACATGGAGAAGTTCAAGAAATTTGCAGCCCGCAAGAAATGGAAGGTGAGTGAGTTTTATTAACAGATGAGCGTGGTTTCATTGCTTAGTCACGGCAAATTCCTCTGAATTCATTCATAGGTCAGTAGGCGTCAACTTGCGTTTTGGGAAAAGCTGGAGAAAAAGGTCAGACATATCCATCTGTTGGTTCCACCTCAGCAAAGTGGAAGCACAGTGATCTAAAGAAAGGAGGCAGCGTAAAGCATGACTCCTTATTATAATCCTTGCATTTGATATAGCACTTTATCACGTCTTTGAGACGTCTCAAAGCGCTTCACAGTAAAGTGAATTGACTATATTTTGTGGGCAAAACGTGGCAGTCAATTATGTACAGCAGTGTCCCACAAACAATCATGGATTGAACTGACCAATTTATTATTTTTTTATATGGAAAAATGGAATAAACAAGTTGTGTCAAAAGCAGATTTTACTTATTAAATGTTTTTCCCCATCCCTGCCCTCCACTCAGCCCTTCCCACCTGAAGGCATTGAATGGTATTTGGTTACAGTGTTCACAGGGTACAGTTACTCTCCATTACCTGGACAGTACATGTCAACAGGCTCAGGGAGTCACTGAGCTCCTAACATGAGCAAGTTCCAGCAAAGGTCACTGGTTAGCAATCATCTGTATAATTCTGGCATAAAAACACAGCCCTCTCCTCATCTCGAACTCAAACTTGCTGAAGCCAGTTGCATCACCATATGTGCTTGAAATCCAATAACTCCAAGGTTCCGTGCATGTATCAGTTTCACACCGAGAAGTGGCCATTGGCAATAAAACATTTTAATGTTTATTCACCTACCCTTTCCCTTTGTTTCCTACATTGTTGTTTTACAGTCAATACCATGTCTTGCCAGAGACTCATATATCAAAGAAATTACACCACAATTCACCCTATCGGGCCTGTATTAGTGTCAGTTCCTCTACTAGAACTAACTACTTCAATCCCAAATTCCTGGTCTTTTCCTGTGCACTGTAATCTTTTACAATTTTCCTCCTCAGATCTTCAATTGTCACTTAAATGTTATGAAGTGACTCAGAGATTCAAGCCCAGAGTGATTAAAGCTGATTAAAAGAAAAACATTGTAATTAAATATTGTGACATCCCCCCACCCCCACACACAAAAAAAACTGGAGGTTCCCTCGCTCTTTGTAGTCCTAATATTCACTAGCACACAACTGATCTGGAAAAGCTGGTTTGAAATGTCCTCTTTCCCTTGTTGATGTTTTGGCAATGCTGAATAGTGGCTGCTTTCTGCTTGTCACTCAATATCAAGAAATCCCAGGTTAGTTAGATTATGGTTAGATACAGACAGCTTCCTTTACTCCGCTGCACCAATCTGCCCTTTCCCCAAACCCCAAAGAGGATCCACAACTGCATTGGCCTAACCCAGTTCATTTTTTAGGTGATTGTTGAATTAGCACCAAATTCTACCCGCTTATAGATAGCTTTCTGCTTGGGTGTTTAGCCTAAATGAGCTGATGTTTATACACGTTATTATTGGAAATTACATTTGTGTTTTAATGACTCTAAAATTCCTACCAGTTTTTATGGTCCATTTTATGTTGGGGAGTATTCCCATTAATGGAGTCCTGTAGCTCAGTGGTTAGAGCACTCGCTTTGCAAGCGAGAGACCTGAGTTCAATTCCAGGCAGAGGCGAAACCTTGGGCAAGTTTCCTTACTCCACACGCCTAACAATAATCCCTCCAAAAAACGAAAACAATAATTAAATTGGTCATTTTCAATCTACGACTGTTTGTGGGACATTGCTGTGCGCAATTGGCTGCCGCGTTCGCCCACAAATATACAGTCAACTCACTTTACAGTATATTCTGTGGAGCGCTTTGGGACGTCCTCCCGACGTGAAAAGCGCTATATCAAATGCAAGGATTATTATTATTATTATTAATACTACTTGTGAAAATCAAAGTTGACAAAAACATACACCCACCCCCATTCCTATTATTTCCAATGACGTAGTCAAATTTGTTCAGAGCAGTACTGTGTAAGGAAGGCTCATTAACATAAGCACAGTAGAAATACAGGTAATGAGGTTTCTAGGTTTCTAATCCCCTGGGTTAGTGTTCAGTTCTTAACCAGTTTCTCCCTTCCACATGATTCAACCATGATTCTCAACTACTTCCCAGAAATCTCATTAAAACTGTTACATAGACACGCACATGCGGTCGTGTATGTACAAAAGAAAAGGAAGTTCAAAGTTTCTAAAGTGCTCGATTTGAGTGCCAACAGCCACTGATGTATATAGAAAATACATTGTGATCCAATTACGGTTTGTCTTAACCTGTAATCTTTTTAAGAATATAAGAATTTGCTAGGTGAAAGAAGACCAAGATCCCATCAGTTCGCCTTCCACCATCCTGGCAGTCGTTTGATATGTCGTGTCCCAAACTATATACTATATCCTGAGATATTATTTTCTAGCAGAAATCTATCTAATTTGTTCTTGAAACAAACCACACTTTCTGCTTCCACCATCTCCCTAGGGAGCCGGTTGCATAAGTTTACTACTCACTCACTGAAGTAGTGTTTTCGCAGATTTGTTCTGAATTTAAGCCCCTGCAATTGCAATTTGTTCTGAATTTACCCCCCTTTTTCATTGGTTGTTACATATTTAAGAGCAACTGTAATCTCCATATATGTGCACAATCTGCAAATTAGAACTACTCTATTTAATTCCAGTTGGGTTAATAGAATGGACAAGTGCATTACTGATGATAAGGGAACTTTCCTCATACATTCTGGTCCACTGTTGTTAGAATACTGCAGGTTGATGTGTATTTAATCTAAACTGAAAAGTTCTATTCTCCAACTCACCGTAAATTAATTTGTGTTTTCTTCAGCAATCAGTACGTTTAATATCTCTGTGCCAACGACTATCGAGATCATTCCTTTCCCGAAGTAACATGAGCGTTGCCAGGAGTGAGGACACTTTGGTGAGTAAACCTGAACGAGAATCCATGGGCTTGTTCACAAGGGAGCTAATTAGCTATTTAATCATCGTCCTGTTTGGTTGGTGTTTGTTGATTTTGTACCTTGTGAATATTGGCCGCTGCTATATTCGCAAAACAGCGATGAATTTATTGGATCTCGATTCAGAATTAGCTTCTTTTGCAAATCCCAGAAGTCCAACATCTTCCAGTATTTGCAAAACTGAAGTCGCTATTAACACAACTAACCCAGTTTGTGACTATAACTAATTAGACCTCCGTGCAGAGTTGAATTGTGATAAATTTCAAATGACCTGAACCACAGTCAGCTTTCAATGAGGAGATCTGTTTACCGATGTCTGCCTTTTCTCACTTTACCGATTTGTTTCTAAGAATGAAAAGCTAATAAAAAAAAATATTTTTTAATTTTCATTCTTAGAAACGTAAAGGCCATTTGTGTAGTATTTTACTTGCACGTTAAATATTTTAAGAGCTTTAAATTTGCAGCAAAGTTTAGAACAATTGGAAGGTTTAAAAACTCGTGTCTTGTTAATCTGTGACCATTATAGAGATTCAGATAAAGAATGCCCTCTGGCCCTATTGATCTCATCCATCCAGGTCACCCACTCCATCACAGCACAAGCTGTTTTTAAATGAATCCAGCATCCAGGACTCAGCCAACTGTCGTGGTAACCTGTTCCGATCCTTAATTCCCTCCATTTCTGACAGTCAGTATTCTTCATTATTTTGTTTTCAGACCAGTTAAAATCTAACTAGCAAGACATAGTTCAGGATAGAAGNAAAAAAGATTTGGAATCATTATCAAACATTTACAAGCTGGTTATATTGCTGTGACTGCAAACATATTGACCGACTGTGGTTCAAAATCCCTAATACAACAACATCAAACAAATTACACTTATAAAGCACCCTTCACATCAGAAAGACGTCCCAGGGCGCTGGACAATCAGGGGTTTTGGACCTTTTTTAAAAAAAAATTACATTTGTATAACGCCTTTCACGTCGGGAGGCGTCCCAAGGTGCTGAAAAGGAAAAGTATTCAGGAATATGGGCAGGGGAGTGAGCCTGGTCAGTGGCACAATGGGACAATGGCCTTGATAGTGTTGAATCAATTATTTGCTCTTGTGATTTTCTGGTGCTAAATTTGAGTTTGTGTCTTGCTAATAATAATGCTTGCATTTGAAATAGCACCTAATCACGTCGTCGAGACATCTCACAATGCTTCACAGAATATACCATAAAATGAATTTTGTGGATGAAATGCAGCAGCCAATTTTTATGCTGCCAAGTTTGCTGGATGTTTTGAGCGGGTACTTCCACCTGCTTGTGTAATTAGACTCTTGTTATATCGTCCATAACTTGCTCACTGGGGCGGGTTGTTTCCTGAGATGCTCCTTGAAGTGGAATTGCCGGCTGACATTCACACTTCCAGGCTTTCACATGAGGAGTAGCCACTTGGGTGGGCATTGGAGGGTTTACCTCATCACACGGCATCTACAGGAGAGAAAGGGAGACAGACAACAAGAAAATTACATTTATAGAGCGTCTTTCACATCAGGAGGATGTCCCAAAGCACTGAGCAGTCAGGTGTCGGGGCCCGAGCATGGGGGAGAGGTGGTGTAGGGGTGAGGGAAGGCAGAGAGGTGGGAAGGAGACCAAAGGCACGGTCAAAGAGAAGGGTCGAGACCGGCCTTGAAGGAGGCAAGGGAGGAAGCAAGGCGAAGGGACCATGGGATGGATTTCCAGAGTGTGGGGGCTGAAAGCCCGGCCACCGATGGTAGGGCGGGTCGGGTTGGAGACATGGGGCAGGCCGGAGCTCGATGAACGGAGGGAGTGGGCAGGTTGGTAGGGGGTCAGAGAGGTAGGAGGGGGCAAGGCCATGGATGGCCTTAAAGGTGAGGACGAGGATCTTGAACTTGATCCTCTGGGGGATGGGGGGCCAGTGGAGTTGGGCGAGGGTGGGAGTGATGGGATCACAGAGCCTAGGGGGTGAAAGTACACGAGCTGCAGAGTTCTGGATGATCTGCAGCTTGTGAAGGGAAGAGTTGGGAAGGCCGATGAGGAGGGAGTTCCCATAATTGAGCCTTGATGTGACAAATGCATGGGTGAGGGTTTCGGCAGCCTGAGGGGTGAGGCAATGGCGGAGTCTGGCAATGTTGCGGAGGTAGTGGTAGGCAGTGCCTGTCATGGCGCGGATGTGAGGGAGAAAGGACAGTTCAGGGTCAAACAAGTAACCCAGGTTCCTGACTGGCTTAGTGAGGTTGAGTGTGCAGCCGTGGAGGCTGATGCTGCCAGCGCCTGAGGTGTGGAGGCGCTGCCACGAGCCAATCAGGAGGGCCTCGGTCTTGTTGACGTTGAGTTGGAGAAAGTTGGCCCTCGTCCATGACTTGATGTCGGACAGGCAGTGAGTCAGGATACCAGTAGTCCTGGAGTTCAGGGTGGAAGCAGAGAGGTAGAGTTGGGTGTCATCCGCAAACATGTGGAAATTTACCCCATGTCTGCGGATGAAGTCACCAGAGGGTGAAGAGGAGGGGACCGAGGACAGAGCCCTGAGGAACACCGCACGAGACAGTGTGGGGGCTGGAGGAGAAGCCGTTTACCGCGATGAAGTGGAGGCGGTGTGAAAGGTAGGACCTGAACCAGTCAAGCACAGAACCTTGAGGGTTGAGGTGGGAGGAGAGGCGGTGGAGGAGGATTGAATGGTCCACAGTGTCAAAGGTGGTGGAGAGGTTGAGGAGGACGAGGAGGCAGAGGGAGCCCTGGTCACACATGGTCAGGATGTCATTTGTGACCTTGACCAGAGCAGTTTCTGTGCTGTGGGCAGCACGGAAACCCGATCGGAGGGGTTCATGGATGGAGTGAGAAGAGAGGAAAGAGCGAAGCTGGGAGGCAACGTCTCTCTCAAGGACCTTGGATAGGAAGGGGAGATTAGAGATGGGCCGGTAGCGAGATAGCTCTGATGGGTCGAGGGAAGGTTTCTTCAAGGTGGGGGTGACAGTGGCTGTTTTGAGAGGGGAAGGAACAGTGCCAGATGACAGGGAGAGGTTAATGATATTGGCGAGTAGTGAGGCAAGGTGTAGCTGGGATTTAAGGAGAGGGTCGAGGGAGCTGGGATTTAAGGATGGGGTCGAGGGAGCAGGAGTGGACTTCATGGAGGTTACCGTGTTGAAGACAGAGAAGGGGGTGACAGGTTCAAAGGTATGGAAGGAGGGATGGGTAATTGTCGGATGGATAATTATGTGGGGTGGGAGTAGGGAGGTGGTGGAAGTTGGGAGGGCAGTGGCAGCTGAGCAAAAATTGGACAATTGGAAACGCAACGAAAGTTTCAATCAGATGGTTTGGGTTGAAACGCTCCGAGGCGTTATAATTTATTATTTTGTGTGCAATGTGGCAAGCAGCAGGGCTCAGATTATCTGTTTGTAAGATGATTATTGAAATGTGCAATTTTTAATAGAAAAGTCAAAACATTCTTCTTCCTTTCCTTCCCCTTGGGTTCAGGATTTTTTTGAGCAATTTGCTGGTTGATTTCCGACAGTGAGTGATTTTTATTTTTTCCTCTACTTCCCATAAGGATGAAGAAGATTCTTTTGTAATGAAGGCGATTATTCACGCCATCAATGACGACAATGTTCCTGGTTTACAACATCTCCTCGGATCCCTTGCCAATTACGACATAAACCAAGTTAACAAGGTAACAGCTGTCTCTTCTTTGCCTTGATTGTCTAACCTCTTGATGTATTTATTTCCTTCTCAAATAATACATCTCTAGTTGTGCATTGATCGCACGTATTGTTTTAGAAGAATTGCTGAATTATGTGAAACAATTAGAGAGGTTTGGTCAATATCAATGGGCAGAGAGTACAAGACAATAAAATTAAAATTTATTGCATTCAGGCATTATTCCTTGCACACTCGATCTCTAATTTAAGGGCTCCAGCACACTACCCCACGTGAAGGGCGCTATATAAATGCAAGTTGTTTTAGTAAAGTCTCTGTAGTTTCATTATTATTAATCCTTGCATTTCATCTAGCACCTTATCACATTGTTGAGACGTCTCAAAGTGCTTCACTGGATATACTGTGTATTTTGTGGGTGAAACGCGGCAGCAAATTGCGCACGACAGTGTCCCACAAATAGTCGTGGATTGTGTGATCAATTTTTGTTTGTTTTATGAGGGCTTATTACCCCCAAAAAGCAATCCACCAATCAGCTAACAATCGGGTTCCTACTTACTTCAAGGTAAACAGAGAGTAAGGAAACTTGCTTAAAACAGCTTGATGTTGTGATAGGAGAACATTGGGGTGGGTGTACTGGAAGGACGAGATCAAGTGGGCCAAAGGGCGTTCTTTATCTGAATCTCTCTCAAGATGATGTGATTAACAAGACAATGCATGTAATGCCAAGTTATTTACATAAATTTGATTAATCTGAAGACTTCATGATAGTAAAATAAAGCTTCATATCAAAAGATGCAGACTAATTAATTACAGAATAGCAGAGTGTGTGTGTGTGTGAGCATGTGAAAATGTTTAGTATTCAAACGTCTTCCAATCTGTAGGGCTAACCCTGCACCAAGCTGTCGTCTTAGACATTGAGGAGCCAAGTAAAGTTACAATAGTAAACTCTGTTTGGTAACTGGTGGGCACAGCCCGATATCCAGCCCCTTGTTGCAGTGCTCTGGTGTTCCAGCATGCTGTTCCCATTAAACCAAAGCTATGGTTAGTTCCATTTAATCGCTGTAGAAAATTGTGATTGATTTTGAATGCTGGGTTGATTGCTCAGTAGAGCACGGTCAATGTGACTTTGAAGTGAGACACTGAGGAGAGCAATATAATGTAACTGGTATACGATAGTCTTATAGCAGAGCAAATGCAGCTCCAGTCATGTGGAGACATGTGACCTGTGTTGGATGATTATGGTAATGAGATGTACCTTGAGCTGATCATTATGTAACCAGAAGCGGTGAGTTTTATCACCTAACTGCACAAGTAAACACGGTCCAAAGGAAATAAGATAAGCCTCAATAAAGTGAAGGTGAAATGAATGATTGAATTACGTCAGAAAATATTCCCCTCTCTCTCTCTATCTCTCCTGTACATTCTGCTCTCTCTCTCCTCCCTCTCACTCATTCTTCTCTTGCTCTTCTCTGGCAGTTGGAACATAATGTGGGAAGTGGGAAGTTATTCACCTCGGTAGAAAAAAATAGAAAAGCAGATTATTTTCTAGAGGGGGAGAAACTAGATAGTGTTAGTATTCAGAGGGATTTAGGTGTCCTTGTACACCAGTCACAGAAAGTTAGTATGCAGGTACAACAAGCAATTAGGAAGGCTAATAGCATGTTAGCGTTTATTGTAAAGGGGTTAAAGTACAAGAGTAGGGAAGTCTTGTTGCAATTGTATAGGGCCCTGGTGAGACCACACCTGGAATATTGTGTGCAGTTTTGGTCTCTTTATCTAAGACAGGATATACTCGCTTTAGAGGGGGTGCAACATAGGTTCACTAGGTTGGTTCCTGGGATGAAAGGTTGACCTACGAGGATAGGTTGAGGATATAGGCCTATATCATCTAGAATATAGAAGAATTAGAGGTGATTTTATAGAAACATAAGATTCTTAAGTGTCTTGACAGGATAGATAGTGTGAGACTGTTTCCCCTGGTTGGAGAATCTAAAACTAGGGGTCATAGACTCAGGATTAAAGGTCAGCCTTTTAGAACTGAGTTGAGAAAATATTTCTTCACTCAGAAGGTAGTGAATTTGTGGAATTCTCTACCCAGAAGGCTGTGGATGCTCAGTCATTGAACAGATTCAAGACTGAGATTGATAGATTTTTAAAAACTTAAGGGATATGGGGATAGGGCAGGAAAATGGAATTAGGTTAGAAGATCAGTCATGATCTTATTGAAAGGCGGGGCAGGCTTGAGGGGCCGAATGGCCTACTCCTGCTCCTGTTTCTTATGTTTTCTTCCCCCTCCCCCATATATTATTCTCTCTCTTTCCTCCACCCCCATTATTATTCTATCTCTGATAATACCAAAGTATATCTTTAGGTCGGTTTTACGATATTTATCATTGCCGCTGGTTTCATTCATAAGGAGTCTCAGAATGTCCAACCACAGACCCCAGGAACAAGAGGTGAACTGTGTGGGAGCAGCTATTCCTATCAGCAGGCCTGACATATTCCTGTTACCAGAAGGGAGTCTTCATTTGTGCAACTGATTCCTTAATTAAGAAACCCTGCCAAGAATATTGCAGATTACATACCTATATCAGTGTATAGAAATGTAAGCTAGTTTGAATCACAGCCTTAAGGCAGTAGGAAATACAGTACTTTAACAGTGTTTGCTGCAAATATCAGGGTTTGTTTTGAAAGGCCAAACTTCAGGATGTGCAGTTAATGATAGGTTTCTCCAAACCTAAGTTTGAGTTCAGTGGCCTGCGTCGCTCTGCAGAGATGGACCAGGGAAGTGAAGTCGAGATTTCTCTACTCCTAATACTTATAATTAGTTGCTTTGCTGACTTGAGAGGTACACAGTGCTGAAAATTCAGCCCAGATTATAATAATATGGAAACAAAAGGACAAAATCAAATCAAATACTCAATTTTGCATTAATGCATTCTGTCGAAAAGTAAAAATGCCTCTGGGCATTTCCAGGTACAGAAAGCTGCACAGCAGACCATTTCAACTGGTTTGTTAACTATTGCGTATGATGTGCCATTTTTTTAAGAAAAACAAAGAAATGGACTTTGACCTGTGATTCACAAGTAGCCACAAACAAAACAGCTGGAAACGCTGAGATCATTTGTGACTCATTCTGCAAATTTACTCTCAGATTGGGGTTTACGGAAATGTAGCTCCTGAATGGGGTTGATCAAAGTAAAGGCTGATTGTTTAATTCCACTGCCAAGTGGAATTTTCTACAAAGAATTTATTCATCCTCGAAAGTTCCACAAATATAAACTTGCCGAGAAGACTAGCATGAGTTTGGCATAATTAGCTGTCCCAGGAAAAGACTTTTAACGTTCCGCAGATCACCGGGATAAGAAATCAACCCCGACTGTTCATTTCCATCATTTCTAGTGCATCTCATTTCAGTGTTTATCATAGACTAAGACCTGTGGTACAGATTTTAGGTCTGAAATGTAGATAACAGTAGTAATCCTTGCATTTGATATAGCTCTTTTCATGTCTTCTAGAAGTCAAAGCGCTTCACAGAATATACTGTAAAGTGATTTGACTGTTTATTTGTGGGCAAAATGCGGCAGCCAATTGCACACAGCAGTGTCCCACAAACAGTCGTGGATTGGAGTGACCAATTTTTTTAATTTTTTTTTTTCTTGAGTGATTATTATCAGGCATATGGAGTAAGGAAACTTGCCCAAGGTTTTGCCCTGCCTGGAATCGAATCCAGGCCTTTCGCTTGCGAGGCGAGTGCTCTAACCACTGAGCTACAGGACTCCAATCTTCAATTAATACAGTGCTAGCCTGCTATAATGTGCTTTACTATACTTTACAATACAAAATTATATACTGCCTTTCACATTGGAAGGACGTGTCAATAGCACAAGTTTGCTTCAAACGCAAATTGCACCAAGGACCCCATTCATGACACTTGCACGGAGCCAGCCTGATCACTTCCTTTCCGTGCAACATAGCTGACTTCAGGGTCATTAAATCACTTTAAGCGCACTGAGACACTGCCCTGCATGGAGGGCTTTATATAAGTGCCAGTTGTTGTTAAGTCATCTGACATCGCGTTCGCCTCTGCTGCCCTTGCACGCAGTAGGAAGTCACCATGGAAAGGACCTAATGATCTGGAAGTTAACTCTTTATCTTCCCACACTTTTTTAAAAAAAAGGCTGACTTATGTTCATTGATGATGTCACTTGCTGGGATACACAGAGAGGAGGAAGTGATGCTGGCAGTGACCCAAAAGCCAGAAGTCGGCCATTTTTTTTCTTTGAGTGGGAAGTAAATGGGTCGTCTGTTTGTGTCCCTGCACCACTGCAACGCAGGTTAGGGTTTTATGGATCCCTAACATTGCGTTATGACGGGGCTCACTGCAGGTGAAATACAGCATTTTTAACTGCCTTTATGATCATTCTGAGTAAGGCAAGACTGAAATGTAATAAAAGCTAAGGCAGAAATTAAGTAAAGTATGAGAGTGACCAGGTGACAAATGCGAAGGCAGAATGGAAGTAGGAATTCCTAGAGTCTGCAATATGCTAGCAGTAATGGGGATGTTGTTAATATGTAAGGGTATTGAAAGAAACTCATTTTGGCTATGTGAAGAATTTGTATAATTTGCAATTTGCTAAATCTGTTCTGATAACTGGCTCCATAGTCACTAAGTATTTATAAAATGCAACATTTTATACTGAAATTGCTGGGAGATGCACTGCTGAGTTGGTGCAAGGATAGCCTTCTGATTAGTTAGTCATGATTTATTAATGGCAGATGGAGCTCTATCCATCTGTGAAAATACACGCATTATTAATGGAAAATATTACTGGGCAAAGAAATAAGATTCCATGTGAAATGGCTCATAGAAATGTTACCATCAAAGAGATTTTGTTCACATTGTAGTGCTGTTTCACCGGCTACTTTTAACTCCTGCTTTCCCAGGACCTCAAGACTGTAGAATCCCTCAGCCATTGTCTCTAGACAATCCCAAAGTTTTTCTTCCCCTCTCCTCCTCTTGCCTAATCCCTTTAACCTCAGTGTTTGCTCTCCCTTCACTCAATCACGCTTGTCCAATCTTTCCCGTTCCTTCATCCCTGCACCCAATCCCTCACCTCCTCCTCCCCGATCCAGCCGCCACCTGATTCCTCAGTTCCCCTGTCCTTTGGCAACTCCACACAGGTGACACATACATGCCACACCCCAATCTTGACATTACCTAACTACTTAGTTAACTACTCAAGGCTAACCTTGATTCCTTGTTGCTCTCTTCGAAAGTGCATTGGTCTTGGCTCTCAATAGATTTTTAATAATCAATCACTTTCTCTTACAACCAAACTGTCAACATCCTGATAATGTCTAAAATAATAACAAAACCCTCTAGCTCCATCCTCCCACTATCTGTAGTAGCTCTCCCATGTTCCACGCTATTGATCGAGTGCCGTATTATCATAACTCCCAAATAAGATAACCCCAACTAAAGTGATTTCCAAAGTGTTTGCAGCTTGTTAGTGCTCTAAGTCAGTTAACAGTTATCTAATGACTGAATTAAAAACCATGAGTGAAAGGAGATCAACAATCTCTGAATATTGTATTCACTAAAAGGCATGAAAATTCAACACATTTGAGTCAAATGGAAAATTGTTTGAATCTTAGTGATGCTATCATGTTTTATTTTTGCGCCATGCTCATTTAATTGCAGTTGGCCATTTTATTTTAANTTTTTTCTCTCTCCTTTCGTCTCTACTCCTTCTACGCTGAAATTAATTGTTGCCAATTACAGGAGCTATTTTTTATACCTCGGAGTTCCAGGAGCTGCAGTTTACTTCATTTGGCTCTGTGTCGTGGGTTAGAGAGGAGAAAATCAATCAGGTTTCCTGCTCATGATTCTCTCTCTGTCTCTGCCTATGTGTGTGTGTCTGTGAGCGTGGCTATGTGCGAGGTGGTGGGGGAGGGGGGTGTGGTGGGGTATGGTAGTGTGTTGCGGATCAATTTCAAGATCCTTATCTGGTATTCAAACTCCTTCAATGTTTTACCCCTCCCTACCTATTCCATCTCCTCTAGTTCAATTTTCCTGAGGTGTGTTCTGCTCTTCCAACTCTGGTCTGTTACACATCCCTCATTCCTTTCATTCCACCATCAATGGTAAAGCTTTCAGTCACTATGTCTCCACTCTTGGAAATACTCTCCCAAAATTGATTTTACTTGCTGACATGCCTTTAATCAACCCACTTAAACCTTAAATTCCCCTTCCTCTTAATGTTGGCTGCTCCTCTGTATTTTCTCTGTTGAGACATTTATATTGCATAAATAAGTGGGTACTGAAAACTTGTGCGGTAGAATTGTTAAAAATTAGGAAAGGATTTAATAAGGTGGACATTAATCGGCTGCTTCTAGTTGTTAGTGAGTCCAAAACGAGGGAACATAAACATAAGATAGATAGCCAGTAGTAGATCTAATGGGGAGTTTAGGAGAAACTCCTCAGGGCAGGTTCGAGGGGCCGAATGGCCTACTTCTGCTCTTAATTCTTATGTTCTTAAACGCCTTCACGCAGAAGGTGGTGAGAATGTGGAACTTGCTGCTGAAAACTGTGGTCGAAACAAAAGCACCAGCATATTTAAGAGCAAACTTGACGTATACATGAGGGAGAAGGGATTAGAGCAGAATAGGAGGGGTGGAGTGTAAAGGTGGACTTGTGAGGCCAAATGACCTTTTTCTGTGCTGTAATGTTCCATATAATTACATATGATTGTGATGCCCTCCACAATTGAAATGATCATGTTAACGTTGATTATTTGAGTGAAGTACCAGCGGGCCACAGACACCCGAGGGACCTTATCCAGTGAGAACCCCTTAGTGGAGCCAATAAGTCCCTCTCTCTCTTCTCTCCCTTCCTCCCCTCTCCAGCTTGGAAAGGCCCGAGGGCAACACACTTCAATTCTCTTATTGCGTAGTTTGTTAGGAACTCATTCAAGAGGCGGGGGGGGATTCAACTGGGGGGGGGATATTAAATTTGACCTCTGATATCCAAGGGTTTTCAATGTGTCTTTCAGCTTCTTCCAGGATGTACATCCAGTTCTTTTGAGCTGATTGTATCTTTTAATTGAAAAAAAGTTTGTTGTACAGTCGCTGTTCAAAGCAGGATGTTGATCTGCTGGTTTTAAATATTACTGGAATAGTGTTTGATCTATAAATCCTTTTACCGCTGTTTGGAGGACACATTATATAATAATAAAAGTAGTGTATTCTTAATTTAAAGTGTGTCTTGTGAAGAAATAATATTTCTTATTTGATGTAGCGCCTTTCAATCATGAGCATGTCTGAAAGCGCTTCACAGGGTATACTCTGAAGAGTAATGGCCATTGGTGGGTGAAGTAGAAAGTACAATAACATATAAAATAGATGCAGTGAAACGTCTTGTATATATGAAGCATATAAAGTATATATTTAGTATAATTGGTGGGCCTCGAGTATAATCCACTCCCTATAGGTACAAATCATTATAAATGGCGTACGTTTGACTACAAGGTAATCACACACTTTGAGGTGGAAAATTTCGTAATTATTGAAAGTTTTTTAAAAATAGTCAAAAGTTGTCTGACTCAAAGTGACAACACTGCCATTTGGAGCAAGCACTTTGAGACCTCCTCGACACTATATCAAATGCAAGTAATGGTATTATATTGTGTGTGTGTGTGTATATTGTGCATGAATAATGTATGTATATATATATATATATGTTTCACAGCAGATTCCACATCAATCAATCAGTATCAGAAAACGACACATGCGTTAATGTTTCAAGCACGTTCCTTCTTCAGAACTGATGAGACCTCTTGTCCAAAGTGAACATTTTCATACATATTTTCACAGCAATTCAGAATTCACAACGCACAATAAAGTGTCATCTATTCAAATAAGGAATATTTTGTAATTATTTTAGGCAAAGTAGCTCCTAAATTGTAATTGAAAACAGGAAAAGAAACCAACGTACTGAAATCTCCAGTCTCCCCCATCATGTTTCTACTTAATGTATCTCTCTGCAGCATGGCACCCCCCCCTTGTTGGTTGCAGCCGGTTGTGGAAACATCCAGATTCTTAACTTGCTTATCAAGAAGGGAGCAAGGATCAACTTACAAGACAAGGTGGGTCTCGGAATGCTCGAGAAGTAAATTCACTTATTGTGGCCTGAATTTCTTTTGCTCTGCTCTCATGCACCACTATGTACTTTAGTGTTATTGTGGAGACCTGTAGCTCAGTGGTTAGAGCACTCGCTTTGCAAGCGAGAGACCTGAGTTCAATTCCAGGCAGGTCAGGGCGAAACCTTGGGCAAGTTTCCTTACTCCACACAGAGCCTAATAATAATCCCTCCAAAACCAAAACAATAAATTGGTCATTTTCAATCTACGACTGTTTGTGGGACATTGCTGTGCGCAATTCGTTGCTGCGTTTGCCCATAAATATACAGTCAATTCACTTACAGTGTGTTCTGTGAAGCGCTTTGGGACGTCCTCCCGACGTGAAAAGCGCTATATCAAATGCAAGGATTATTATTATTATTATTATTATTAGTTATCATACACATTGGGTTTCATGTTCGTGGATTTCTTAAATAAAAAAAATGCTTTCACTAAGTCTTAAAATGGGATTTTCAGTTATGAAGACGTAGCAGACAAGATTCCTACTTTCTGCGATCACAAAGTAAATAAATGCAAATGGATCTCGTACATTCTACTCATTTTGTCAATTATTGCTATTAGCAATGATTGCTTACTTCTGACCAGACATTTTCTTATAGCTCCTACAGTTTTAGGTCCGTTTGTGTTTTAGTGACCATTTAACTGACTGGAAGCTAATATGGCTGCAATTTTTTTTAATTTGAAAAAAATTCTTCAATTATTGCATAGCATTTGTATGTATATAACACTTTGGACCACATTTAATTTATTTTAATTGCTTCCAGTCTGGCTCAAATGCAGTTTATTGGGCAGCAAGGCATGGCCACACAGAGACCTTGAAGTTCTTGCATGAGAAAGAATGTCCTCTGAATGTGCAAGACAAGGTAAGCAAACTCACCAGTACTAATGTCACATTGATAATAGTAATGCAGTAAATTGCTTATAACTCTACCCTTGATTAATTTGTCACCCCCACTTAAGTCATCATGCTGTCAATATCCCGGCTGTATTTTTTGATGATTTATACGTGTGGCTAACTCACCACTCCTGATAACTCGTCACTGAGCCCTTTTCCGTTGGAGTGATGAAGTATCAGGTGTTTACTGTATTAGATTGTGAAATCAGTTTACAAATGAGAGCTGTGTTTGGAGAAGTAGTTTTGTGTATATTTTGGTTTCTATAAACAAACAAGGGTCAAACGTAATTTTAAATTTCAAAAAAATTAAAGTGGTTTAGATTAGGTTTTAAAAATTCAGGAGGTGTTTTTTTTCCCTTTTCCTCCGCCATTGTTGAAACAAAGTCCATAAGTTATGCAAGTAGAAGAATGGGGTTAGAATGACTCCTGTGAAGGAAACCACCAGGGCACACTTTGCTTCAGTGCTGTTGCAAACTATGATTCTATGAATAGGATGACGTGAGAGATTTGGCTGAAGAAGGCTCTTCAGCCCATCTGATCTCATCCTTCCAGAATATCCTCCTTATCATCCTCGCACTACAACAACGACAACAAAATTACATTTGTACAGCACCTTTCATGTCTGGAAGACATCCCAAGCCACTGGACAATCAGTGTTTCAGACTTGATATGAGATTTGGGATCGTGGAGGGAAGGAGGGTGATCAAAGGCATGGTCGAAGAGGAGAGTCTTGAAGGAGGCAAGGGAGGGTGTGAGGCGGAGGGACTGCAGGATGGGGTTCCATAGGCTGTGGTCAGAGTGGCAGAAGGCCCTCCCGCCAAGGGGCGGGCAAGACGGGGGACATGAAGCGTGCTGAGCGGAAGGAGTGGGCAAGTTGGTAGGGTGTTAGGAGATCGCAGAGGTAGGGGGAAGCAAAGCGATGGAGGGCTTTGAAGATGAGGACCAGGATCTTGAATTGTATCCTCTGTGATGGGAAGCCAGTGGAGTCGGGCGAGGATGGGGTTGATAGGATTGCGGAGGCTGGTGCGGGAGAGGACACTGGCTGCAGAGTTCTGAATGATCTGCAGCCTATGGAGGGAGCAGTTAGGGAAGCTGACAAGCAGGGAGTTTGCATAGTCGAGCCTGGGTGTTATGAATTCATGTATGAGGGTCTTGGTGGCCTGCGGTGTGAGACAGTGGCGAAATCGCGTGATGTTGCGGAGGTGGGGAAAGGCAGAGCAGGTCACGGCATGGATGTGGGGTAGAAAGGATAGTTGAGGGCCAAACAAGACCCCAAGGTTCTGGACTGGCTTAGCAAGGTGGAGTGTGCAACCATGGATGGTGATGCTGTCAGCACCTGAGGTGTGGAGGTGCTGACGGGAGCCAATCAGGAGAGCCTTGGTCTTGTTGACATTCAACTTTAGAAAGTTGGCTCTCATCCAGAACTTGATGTCTGAGAGATATCCTATCAGGACAGCAGTGGTCCTGGAGTCAAGGGTGGAGGCAAAGAGATACAGTTGGGTGTCATCTGCATACATGTTGACCCGATGTCTGCGGATGACGTCATCCAGAGGGAGCATGTAGGTATTGAAGAGGAGGGGACCAAGAACAGAGCCCTTAAGGAACGCCGCACAAGACGGTGAGGGAATAGAGGAGAAACCGTTTGTGGAGATGAAGTGGAGACAGTGTGAGAAGTCAAGGACGGACCCTTGAAGGTTTGAGGTGAGTGTAGAGTGGTCAATGGTATCAAAGGCGGTGGAGAGGTCAAGGAGGACGAGGAGGTAGAGGATCGCGGATGGACAAAATGTCATTTGTTACTTTGACTAAAGCTGTTTCTGTGCTATGGGCGGCACAGAAACTTGATTAAAGGGGTTTGTGAAGGGTGTGGTGGGAGAGGAAGAAGTGAAGCTGGGAAGCAATGACTCGTTTCAGGACATAGGAAGGGAGGTTGGAGATGGAGTGGTAGTTTGAGAGCAGGAATGGGTCCAGTGAGGGTTTTTTAAGGATAGGAGTGATGACGTATGTTTTTAAAGGGGTGGGAACGGTACCAGTGGATAAGGAGAGGTTTATGATGTCTGAGAGTAGAGGGTCAAGGAGGTGCAGCTGGGAGGTAAGGAGAGGTGTAGGCATGGGGTCGAGGGAGCAGGTGGTCAGTTTCATCACTACAGCATCAAGCTGTTTCTTAAATGAAAATACTAAAGATCCTGAGCCTTGAGAAACAATTCAACAGCTTGAAACATCTTCAGTAACTTGCTCAAATGTGAGCTAAAACAGTGCATGCTAGTATTTAATTGTGTAGGAGATGAAAACTGCCCAACATCAATGCTCAATACAGCGCAGATCCTCGGAATAGTGATCAAGAGTGCGAGCCGAGGATGATTTCTTCCCCTTGCTAGCCAGACGTGTGTTGATCAATTTTTGCCTCAACTGAAATCAGACTAAAGTGAAGCTGCAACTATCTTCCCTGTTGCAATGCTGCTCTACTGTAATACCTTACAGTGTGTCGTGCCCAGCCACTGGGTAATCACGAGAGTTAGTCTTTAAAACATTGAAAAGGACATACAAGAAAGAGAGAGAATAGAGGCGTGGGAACAAACAGAATTGAAGTGCTCAAACTTTTATGTTTTTATTAGTTTCCAGGCTTATAGTTCAGAGCTAACATTGGAATAATCTAGTGACGTCTGACATTCGAAAAACCACACTGTTGCTATAATATTAGCACTTGTTTCAGCATTGCAGCGCGTGAGCGGGAAACTAAGCGCAAATAGTTGGCCTGCGGTGGTGGAAAACTCCTCGTACCTGCTGCCAGTCCACGTGCTAAGACCCTGTTGTTAACACTAGGGGTCCTATCATCGCGTCGCTGTTTCCAAGAATTCCCTATGTGAGAACTGTGACAGAAGAATAGCTCGAAGTCTGGAGGTTCAGAGTAAATAAACGGAAGACATCGCGTGGAATAATGTATTAGTAAAATCTGTAGCTGATCCGATTGTTCAATACAGATTTACAGACGAGCACATTGGAAATTGTGAGAAGCTCTAACTCCTGTGAGAACAGATGCTGACTCGTGATTTATTGGCACAGAGCGAGAATGTAACCAGGCATTAATAACAGTGCTACAAGAAACTGAGCTGAAAGATCTGTGTCGTGCCCTAGTGAATTTTTAATAAGTTTATAGTGTTTCCCATGTTGTTTTTACATCTTTGTTTATTTCATATGTTCGTTATCCAGAGAAGCATTCATCAATCATAGTTTCTGTGTTTGCCTACTTAGCAGCTTTTTATATTAAGATAAAATCGGTCATTCACTTCATGGCTATTTGGGAGAACATTGCTGTGTGCAAATTGACTCTGCATTTGCCAGCAAAATAGTCATTGCAGTTTGCAATAAATCCTGTGAAGTGCTTCAAAAAGATGTCCTCCCAAAGTGAAAGGCGCTATAATCAAATACAAGGATTTACATTCCATTGCATGCAATTTGATTATTTCCAGACGATCATTCTGCTTCTCTGATTATGTGAACAGTGTTAGTCTCATTCTGCCTTGTGATTCAGGTGAATGCAAAGGGGCTGCCATGGCACTGCTACTTCAAAGAAGCGAGCCTTTCTCCCAGTTGTTCTGTCTTCTATTCCCCTCCTAATCCAAATTTACTCCCAAACTCAAGTGAATTGGCTGCTCATCTCATTTTTATTTAAGGGACGTTGCTGATGTAGAATAGCTGTGAAGTTGTACCAAATGGTACCCAATTTAAGTGTTTAGTCATAAAGATTTATTAGTTTCATGCATTTAATTCTATAATTTATCTTGACAAAGGGAAACCTGCAGAATATCCTGGACTGATATTTTTAGGCACTATAATTCCTGCCCTGCTCTGTGATCAGAGATGTTACAGGATGCAAGGATGAGTGAGTTGCTGCACCGTACAATAAATTTGAGATAAGAAAAGGGCACAAGCACACATACTCGTGACCTGTCAGCAATTGCAATCTGAAAACTATTTGAATTTTTCAGTCTCCTGAGTGTTGGTGTGCAGGATGCTGGATAATAAGCGCATTGAGATGTCCTCCCAATGCACTATATAAATGTAAATTGTATTGTATCGCTCTGCATTTGGTGGATTTTTCTTTTCGTCTCTTCCCTGGAAAACAGCAGCATATTATGCAGGATTTCATGTTCTTGAACATCTTTACTTTGATATTGTTCATTCTCACACCCTCCACATACCACCAAGATCTGGACTGACTGTTGGGAACTTCCCCTTTGAGAAATTCCTGTGACTTTTGTCATTCCAGGTGACCCTCCAATTTCATGTTCTTGAATATCTTTACTTTGCTATTTTAAGGATTCAGCTACCTTAAAGAGAGCTGCTGTTTAATGCATCTTTCTTTGACTAACATGACTTATTTGCCTCAACTTGATGTTGAGGTTTTTAAGACTTTTTCTCCAATCATTTAAGCAAAATAATATATACAAAAAGGTCATTGTAAGTATTGCATCTTTTGCACAGTGTGATTTTTAAGGAGAAGCATTTAAGGTGTCAGCCTGGCTCAGTTGGTAGATCTCTTCGCCGAATCAGAAGGTTGTGTTTTCAAGCCTCATGTCAGGCCTTTGAGCTTACAGACTAGGCTGACATTCTAGTACAGCGCTGGGGTGCGCTGCATTATCTGAGGTGGCATCCTTCGGATGAGCTGTTAAACCGAGATCCCGTCTGCCTGATCAGGTGGACTTTAAAGATCCCATGGCATTACCCGAAAAGAGAACGTGATTGCTTCCAGTGTCCTGGACAATCATTTCTGGGTAAAATTGGTCACTTGTTTCATGGCTGTCTGTGGGTCATTGATGTTTGCAAATTGGCTGCCACATTCGCCTACAAATAGTCAGTCACACTTTGCAGTAAATCCTGTGAAGCCTTTTGAGACATTTTGACAATATGATAGGCACTATATCAAATGCAAGTATTATTAAATGTGCTGTTACTGGAGCATATTTCAATTTGCCAACTTTTATCTTTACCTTTCCATTTCACTGCAGTCCGGAGAGACAGCCCTGCACGTAGCAGCCCGCTACGGCAATATGGAAGTGGTGCAGTATCTCTGCACCATCGGAGCCAATCCAAACCTTCAAGACAGGGTAAGCTTCATTTTAATATAAACGAGATCTACAGCATTGATGGTGGCTTTTGAAATGAACCGGCACTCGAAAAAAATGATAGAAAGATGCTTTGGGGTATCTGTGGTCATAGTTCTATACATAACGAAAAATTGGCTGCCAGGTTTGCCTAGAAACTACACAGTCACTACTACACTTTATATAGTGAAACGCTTTGAGACGTCCTCCTGAAGTGATGGCCACTATATCAAATGTAAGGATTGTTACTATTTTTATTAGTAATTTATGCTCAAAGATTGTGTGGAAGAGAAGATGGCTTTCTTTGGAAAAACCCTGCATTGCATCCTGCAGCTACAGTTTCTCTTCCTGTTCAGATCCCCAGGGCACAATCTGAAGAGAGAAGGGGATTTCTCCTGGCTAATCCCGACATAGTAAAGTTGCATTTTTGTCCATAACCTATCAGGAAGGAAGTTTGCCAAAAGGAGGGCAAGTGTTTCCTTGCCCATAAAGTAAATTAAATGCAGTTCACTGCAAGCTATTATCACATACCTTCCAGAAACCACTGCAACACTAGCCCAGCTAGCAAAGCAAAACAAATTACCCCAGCCCCTTTCTACAAAGAATTTTTACTGTAGCAAATCCTGGTATGAAATAAGAAACTGCTAAAAATGGAATGTTAGCTATGTCCAAACCAAGATCCCGTCTGCCTGATCAGTTGGACATTAAAGATCCCATGGCATTACTCGAAAAGAGAACGTAATTGCTTCCAGTGTCCTGGACAATAATTCCCGGGTAAAATTGGTCACTCGCTTCATGGCTGTCTGTGGGATATTGCTGTTTGCAAATTGACTGCCACATTCGCCTGCAAGTAGACAGTCACACTTTACAGTAAATCCTGTGAAGCCTTTTGAGACATTTTGATGATATTGTAAATCCACATATGAAGAGCGGATAGGCCATGGGTATTGTGGATAATCATTGGTGTCCGTGTAATCATACGCTGCACATATCAGTGAGTTCTGAGCTGGGGTTGGCGAGTGGTGTAAGAGAGAAAGCAGAGAACCAAAATCCCGTTCAAGCTCCCCGGTGGATCTGGGTGCACTGCACCCATAACTGAAACGAGAAGGGGTGAAGAGAGAATGAGGAAGTCAGATTTTTTATACACACCCACACACCGTATATTAAGAAGAAACTTGCTTCAAAGTACAACTTTGAAGGATGACCTGGTCTGATCTAAAAGTTACAAGGTGAAAAATGTGATCTACGTAGTGTTTTGTAACAGATTCGTATCGGCTCAAATCAGTTATGAAACATTGTGTTTTTCGCTCATTTTTAGTATTGAGTACAATTCTGTGTAGTCATTTTTAATAATTAAGAAAATTATTTTAACGCCTTCGGTTATCTTTCCCTCGCCCCCCCCTCCCACCCAGGGCCAGTCCAAGCCAGGACTGTCGAACGTCTTGGGACTTCCTGTACAAATGTAAACTTGTACTGCTTGAATTTGATCATTGTAAACCCATCTCTAGGAAAAACTTGTTATTTTTCTTACCCGTTTGGGGCTAAATAAAGTTCCAAGAGTGTTAGCGAAGACCCTTAACATTGTGCAATACTGAATGGAGCATAAATAATGCAGTTTCAGAAGTCACAATCGTGCTATTCATGAACAGTTGCGACGCAGATGTGTGTGGGCAGGTTGGAATATCTTTCTAAAGCATTTCAGTGTAACATTTATTCTACAGCACTGAATGTTTTCGTGAGCTGCGGCATTCACTCCCTAATTTTCTGGCTTCCCTTGAAGCCAGTAAGTCTTGCTGTGATGCAGTACTTCGACCGTGTGATTTATTTATGTTTGATCCTAGAGAGCCACTGCCTGCAGGTTAATGTAGCGTAACAGTCCAGCACAATATAGTGCCCTGAGATTTTCACTTCAGCATAGACTTTGGATTCAGTGTTTTACAAGGCAGCAGCTTTATCAACAGAGCCTTCAGGGAGCCACTGACTCTTGTCTTTTAAATTCTGACTTGTATATGTTCTTCTTAAAAAAAAGATAATGTTGGCACCACTGAGTTGTGATTTTAAAAAAAGGAAGCAAAAGGCATGGTATGAATGCCTGAAATACAGGAGCAAAGTGACTTCATTAATATTTCAAGATTTCTTGCAATTGGAACGAACAGTGAGCCTGATTGCACAGCACACAAAGTGGTCATTATTTTGTATGTGTTTGTGTAGGAGAGAAGAGATGAGAGAGCTAGTGGATCTTTGATTCCTTTAAGTCAGATCCTACAGTATTCTAACACAAGATTGTTTTTGATGAAGAAGTCCCTTCATCCCAACTGATCTTATTTCCCCTTCCCTAATGTTGTCGCATCACAGCATCAAGCTGCGTTAAATAATCCAGTGTCTTGGCCTTCATGGCACCTTGTTGCAGTCATTGATTACCCTCTGAGTAAAGTAAAACTCCCCAGTGTCTGTCCGGAATTGCCCATCACAACTCTAAACCCATGTCCCCTTGTTCTATTGTCTTGTTGCATTGCAAACTATTGATCTGGGTTTACTTTTCAATCCCATTTAAAATGCCATGCACCTCTATGAGATCACCCCTGAGTTGTCTTCTCTGAAGGTGGAAGAGCCCTAGCTTGTCTAATCCTTGCTTGTAGCTGATTCCTCTAACACATACTTATTGTTCTGCACTGCCTCTAAGGCCTGGGCAAACCCCTTATGTCACGATGACCTGTACGCAGTATCCAGATGGCCATACGCTATACAACCTGAGTAAGATGTAAACTCAAGATCTTAGCCAGGTCAGCACTGGAGCACTAGAGTTGGTCACTTTGTGGAAGAATGACCCAGGGTTCCTGCTGCTAATATTTCTTAGCATGGACTTATACAATGTCTTTCACATAGGAGTGCTTTAGGTTGGCCGATGTGGGACACAGAGGAAGATGGAAGGCGTGGAAATAGGGGGAAACAAAGTGTGGGTGAGGACAGGCTCAGCCTCGGCTGTGACGCCTCCCTCAAACAAAAGCCTGGAAATACAGCAATTTTCCAGCCTGACACGTGAAGAATGTTCACTTGAATGAAGTACCCAATAGCTATTAAACAGGGCCCTAACAAACACCAGTTCCTGTAGAGGTGAATAACACCCTTGATTGCAAGGTCAGGTATTAATATTAGGCTGCAAAGCACTGAAGCTGCAGTTTGAGTTATGATTTGCTGAATGGTTTTAGTGGAGCTATTGGTATTTGAGTACGACGGTTTAAATGGTTCTAAAATTCACCAATTCAGACTGAAAAACTAAGCACAGAATCTTTTATAGCTGGACCTGCAGGCACTAACACACTGTATCCTACCAGGTTGAGTTTGAAAGTTTCTTTCCCCAAAAAAAGACACTTGCTCATGACTGTAACAACTGTGAAGGCCTTTAGGAATGTTTCAGTCTTACAGGTGCTGTAAAATAATCTAAACTCTCTGGTTTCTCCTCTTTCATTCAGTGTAGATTTTATTTAGACAGAGAATACATGGAAATTCCTGCCGCAATGCATTGCTGGAAATAGAGCAACTATGCTGACACGTGAAAAATGTACTTACCTCTTAAGTCCCAATAGCTTCACTGCTCAGAATAAGATCTTTCTTTCACTCACTTTTGCTGTGGGTCACCATGTTGCGAATGCTGCAAATTGTCTTTTTTTGTTTTTCCTTTTCAAATCAGGACCAAGAAACCCCTTTGCACTGTGCGGCGTGGCACGGCTATTACACCGTAGCCAAAGTGCTTTGTGAAACCGGCTGCAACATTTATGTTAAAAACAAGGAAGGAGAGGCTCCCCTCCTGAGTGCAGCGGCCAGAGGTTATGTGGACATCGTGGAATGTTTGATGGAACACGGTGCCAACATGGATGACGTCGACACGGTCAGTGGTCAGGCCCGGGAAACACTAAATGTTTCTCTTTGCAGCCTCAGGTTACTGATCACTTGCGTTCGGTGGCTATGGACTCTGTGTGTGTGTGTGTGTGTGTGTGTGTGTGTGTGTGTGTGTGTGTGTGTGTGTGTTTTCTGTGTGTGAGTGCTTCTGTGGTTGCATGTGTTAGTGCTACTGAATACAGAGCTAATACCTGGAATTGGTTAGGAATTAATTTCACTATCACTCACTCCTGCGATTTTTAAAAAAAAATATTGTGTAAATAAAGCCAAGGACATAGCAGTAATTCCCAGCGGTAACCCCAATTTCCTTCCTCAGGTGCCCTGGGTGGTTAGTACATGTTTTGTTTGAGGGTTGTCGAGAAGCGGGTCTTGGTCACATTGTTCTATTTTTGACTGGTGGAAAGGATCGAGTGTATGACTCACGGATGCCACTGATTTTCAAGCTCAATCTACCCTGGAATACAATGGTATATTATAGAACACAATGGCCTCAGCTCTCCCCTAGAATACAATAGTGATGCAACGTATATCTTTGTTGCTTCCAATAGCTATACCTACTGCATACAGTTGGTTAGTTGCTGCTCTCGCCACCAAATACTTGGGAGTACAAAGAGACAGCTTTTCAGAAAAGGAGCAGTGCAAGGCAGCACTTACGGAACTAGATTCTTTGTTAATTTATCATGAATTGCATACCTGCATTTCTTTCTGTACAACTCCCGAAACAATGCTTGCCGCAATCCTACAGCAAATTCCACAAGAAGCAGAAATGCTTTTGATTGATTTTGAAATTGCAAAACGAGTGAGGCAGCATAGGGGGCGTGCCAAATCTCTGGGAAAAGAAAAGAGATCAGGCACAGAAAGATTTGCTCCACTTTTGTTTTAAGGTAGAGACGTTCTGAAAATCCTTGCAGTATTTACCTCAGGAGCGAGAAACTGTTGGTAGTAAAAGATAGCAAAGCAGACATTTTCTTTTGCTACCCGGATGCTGAATAAATTAAGGGCTTCTCAGTGGGTCAGTTTAATGTTTTGGGTTTTGAAAGATTCTTGTCAGGAAAATGGCAGGTTGAGTGGCGCTTAGTGCTCGGAAAAGCACCTCAGAACATAGAGTGAATCTGCTCCATCTATTATGCTGATCCCCAGGTATACTGCTTTGTTCCAATATCACATCGGAGACGATCTCTGGCTTTTAGTACAAGGATTACTGGTACCAGGAATGAGGCACTTCAGTTATCAGGAGAGGCTGGAGAAGCTAGGATTATTCTCCTTGGAGCAGAGAAGGTTAAGAGGAGACTTAATAGAAGTTTTTAAAATCATGAAGGAATTCGATAGGGTGAACAAGGAGAAACTATTTCCACTGGCGGGTGAGTCGGTAACCCGAGGACACCGATTTAAAATAGTTGTTAAAAGAAACATAGAGGAGGTGAGGAGAAATGTTTTCACACAGCGAGTTGTTCAGATCTGGAATGTATTGCCTGAAAGGGTGGTGGAAGCCGATTTCATAACAACTTTTAAGAGAGAAGTAGATAATTATTTGGGGAGGAAAAGTTTGCAGAGCTATGGGGAGAGAGCGGGGGAGTGGGATTGATTTGGATAGCGCTTTACAAAGAGCAGGCACAGACACGATGGGCCGAATGACCTCCTTCTGTGCTGTATAATTCTATTATTCCCCAACAGGAGAATCACATTACATTCAAAGTATCACTTAATGCTACTGTTTCACTGATGAGTGCATTTTAACGCAGTGTCGAACAGATTAATCATGAAGGCCTCTGATCCAATCTTCAAACGTGGATATTGAATGTGGAAGGAACGGCAGGATGGAGTTCACTGTGATGCCCTCCGCAGCTCTCCAGCGCTTATTGTGCTAGTTTAATATGAAGAATGGGCATTCAGTGAGGTGCCAGAGGGTTATCGACACCTGTGCACCATTTCCCTATTTTAGTCGCTGCCAGCAGCAAGGCTGAAATTGGGGTTGAGTGTAAGAGCTTGTTACTACCAGTCCTGAGGGCCGAAACTGGGGCTAGGGAGTTGGTGTGGGTCAACGACAATGATTTCAGGAGGGGAGGGGCAAAGAGTGACACAGATAACGCTGCCATTTTGGAACTGTTGAACACAATCTGGTAGAAGCTAATACCTTTGTAAGAATTGGAGCATTTCTGGAATTGTGTGTGGGGCATTGTTTCAGGGGCATTTGCTTTAGAATTTCCTAAACATTTAGCAATCCACAAGATATTGTCAGGCGGCATAGAATCCTATTAGAATATCATGGTGCTACTTAGCACTGATCCCAAGGCGATATGTTGGATTTTAACATGCAGCAGTTGTGACAAGTTTGGAAGAATCGGGCAGCTGCTGTGCTGGGGGCATCGCTTGTGATGTGTGTGGTGTTGATAAAAGAGTTGATGAAAGAGTGCAGAAGCGATTACTCTTTATTAAACACAGACACACAAGGGTATCGTCCTTCTCAGAAATGGTGGAGATGTGGCATTGACAGAATTTGTCTTTGCGATATTTTATGGAATTGGCCCACATTCATCCCCTTTCAGAAAGAGGTGGCCTTTTCTCATACAAACATAGAATTATACAGCACAGAAGGAGGCCATTCGGCCCATTGTATTTGTGCCGGCTCTTTGAAAAGAGCTATTCAATTCAATCCCACTCCCCCACGCTTTCCCCATAGCCCTGCAAACTTGTCCTCCCCAAATAATTTTCTAAATAGTTTTCTGTGTTAACTCTTCCCTTTTCAGCTATCAGTGCACACTGTGCGCTGTCAGAAAACTGTAAATATGAAACTTGTGGATTTATATTTCAGGACGGTCACACAGCCCTGCATCTAGCAGTTCGGAGGTGTCAAATCGATGTAGTGAGGTACCTTCTAAGTCAAGGATGCTTCATGGATGCACAAGATCGACTGGGAAATACTGCTCTCCACGTGGCTTGCAAAGATGGCAACATGGCTATTGTTATGGCTCTCTGTGATGCTAATTGCAGCCTTGATGTGCCTAATAAGGTAAGTCCATTGTCGTTTCAGATTTCTACTTTAACACTCGCTTGGTTAGGCTGAGTCTCTGGGGGCCGGTGGGTTTTGCATACTTTTCATCTTGCTCATCGTGACACTACAAATACTAATACTGCAGTAAACTAGCCACTTAGACAGATGGCTTCACTGCCACATTGTTAACCTTTAGAGTGAAATATTAATAATAATCCTTGCATTTGATATAGTGCCTTTCTCGTCGAGAGGCCGTCTCAAAGCATTTCACAGGATTTACTGTAAAGTGTAGTGACTGTGTATTCTGTACTCAAATTATGTGCATTTTGGGTGTACAACTACTGCAAGCTTTTCTCCCACCTCCACCCCCTCGCCCTTCACCCCTCTTGACTCCAATCCCCAGCTCGAGTGCAAACTCTCGACTGTCCAGTGCCTTGGGACATACTCCCAATGTGAAAGGCGCTATATAAATGCAATTTGTTGTTTTCTTCTCTGTCCCACCACCCCCCACCCCCATCCCATTTTCTACTTCATTTTTGAGACAGGGATTGGTAGAGTTTCTTCCACAATGTGCGGTCCTAACTCAGTAGAGGATCCTGACTTGAACCCAAGATCTCGGCTGCTCACTGGATAAACTGCTGGCAGTTGTATGTAGTTCAGGTCTTATCTGATACCTCAAATGTAACTTAGATCCTGAGATTATACTTGAGATGATCAAACCTCACAGTCAGCACGTGACAGAAAAACAGTAAATATTTAAAACCAGATGACTTACATTTTTAGCTCTCATTTCTGACCATGAAATAAAAGCAGCTATAAAAGTCTTTATTTTGAGAGGCTTTGCTGTATTAGTGTCTTTAAATACAATTTGAATATCTGAGTTTCTTATTGAAGCCTGGTTTACCTGCTGTGAATGGCAGCATGCAAATGCATTGACAGATATTGTGCTTGGTATTGTGTTGACTAATGAGTTAACCGTAAAGGTTCCAATTTGTGTTTTATTTCGATATGACATTCGCTTGCAAAATAGTCACTCCACTCTACAGTAAATCTTTAAAGTGAAGTGCTTTGAGACGTCCTCTCAATGTGAAAGGCGCTATACCAAATGTAAGTAGTATTATTATTATGAATAGTTTTGCATTAGTGTCAGTACCGTGGCACTCAAAAGAATTCCCCTGATAAAATAGTAAATCCGAGTCTGTTATGACCCAGAGGAGTATGATTGGATAATCCGTAGGGAAAGGAACATGAATCTTCTTTTGCCAACCCTTTCAGCTTGGATCCTGGTGGGGAGAATGGAACCTGAGCCTGGCTTCGTGCTCCCCGCCTGCCTGACCCAGTTTCACTAAGAAGTCAGTTGTGTTAAACCTGATAAACTCACTGTTTAATCTCGGGCTGACTAAGGTTGTGCTTCCAAGATTTTAATTGCATTTCAATTACAGTTTTTTTGACAAACAAAAGACCCTTCTGTAAAATTTCCCCCTCAGAGGTTGAAACAAATCAACTGCAGCCCAGTTATGTGGAGGAACATTGATTTTTGTAGAATTGAATTAATGTGGACACCCTGCACCTCAAACCTTGCGGCTGATGTCAGCCAACTCTCTGTGGAGGAATAAGGGGTCAACTATAATAATCCTTGCATTTGTACCTTATCAAGTTGCAAAGGCAACTCTCAACATTTCACAGGATTTTACCATAAAGTGTAGTGACTGTGAGTTTTGTAGGCGAGCACGGCAGCCAATTTGTGCATAATAATAACTAGCACTAACCCACGACAGCTATGAGATGTTCGACCAATTTTATTTGGAGGATTGTTAGCCAGGATTTCACTTTTCTTTTCGAATAGTACAATGGGATCTTTAATGTCTACCCGAATGGGCAGACAGGACCTCAGTTTAATACTTCATCTGATGGTGGGAATTTCTGACCACACAGTGCTTTCCCAGCACTCCACTGGAATATCAGCCTCGATTATGAGTTAAGTCCCAGTGTGGGGCTTGAATCCAGACTGCTCTGACTCAGAGGCAAGAATGATAGCCAGGCTGATGCATACAATTTTGCAGAGTTCCTTATCGATTTTTCAATTAAGAAATTTGAGTGGGAACTCCCTATGGTAACAGAAAATGCATCACTCCAAAAAGAGTTGTTGGAGTGGAGTTTCCTATGGATCAGTGTCACAGATTTTCTTAGTTAAGAAATAACACAAAATTGACCCTAGAATTTGAAAATCTCCGTATAAAGTTAAATATCAGTCGTTAAATTACAGGCAACATTCGAGTCCTTTGTTTCATTTGATAAATATTTGAACTGCCCCCACCCTCTTCTGACAAAGCAGAGATGCAGCTAGCCAGTATCTTGTAGTCAGTCAAAGTGCTGAAGATTAAAAAGTGAAAACCTTGATGCTGGAAATTAGTGATTCAAAATAGAAAAGCCTGAAAATACACTGCAGGTCAATTGGAACCTGAAAGAGGAAGACAGCCTAACATTTCATATTCGCTAAACCACAGCTCAGACAGGAAATTAAACCTCCGACCTTGTAGTCTAGATGTAGAATCGTTGATTTAGGTGGTGTTCGGTTCAATGCTGCTGAACTTAGTGATGCAGCATACTTTGTGGTTGCAGCGTATTTCAGCTGGATGAAGGAAAAATTGTAATGTGGCACAAATACTGTTGTTTTAAGCTGTGCTGCCTATGATAGTACCTCAATTTCAAAAAGCATATTTTCCTCTTGTTGCAGTATGGACGAACACCTTTACACCTTGCTGCTAATATCGGGAGCCTTGATGTCATCCGCCACCTCTGCCTTGCTGGTGCTATTGTGGAAGCTGTTAGTTTAGTAAGTGCATTGAATAGGTACTTTTTACATTGTCCTACATCAACACAAATAACTTGAATCCATTGCTTCTAATTGTATGGCATATTTCTTAGGATGGCATTCAGGAAGCCCAAGCCTCTTATTTTCAGGTAGAATTTGTACGTAAGTTTAAAAATATGTTCCATGCGTAGGTGGCATACAAATGTAGAACTCAGTCGGTTGTAGATACTGTTACTGGTAATAGGCATCAGACACTTGACTGACCCGAGGAAAAAAATGTGGCAGATTCCACAAATATTTAAACTGTTGAATATTGAACGTAGGAGTTTCCAGTACTCCTTTTTCTTTAACTTCCCATTGTTGTGTTCAAAATGTAGAAATTAAACAAATAAATTGCCTGTGGCTTGGTGTACCTGCACAGGATATGTTGTGCTCTGGGAAACCTGACTTGCTCGTTGATAACCTGAGTCCAGTTTCTCTGAGGTTTTCTGTGTTATTAGCAGCCATGATATGTCTGGCAATGGAATGTCGGAATCGAGCCAGCCCTCTGTGGCAGTCTTGGTAATCCAGTTCCTGAGCCGGGTGAGTCCGCAGTATTCCAGGGCACTGCTGATGACAGCACAGCCAGCCTGGCTCATCGGCAGGGCCTGGAAAGGCAGACCTCACTGGGGGTAGGGCGCCATTCCACTCAGCTCCTGTTAACCCTGCAAGTCAAAGCTCTAACGGGTTGGGTGGTCCTAGCTGGACAAGCAGTGGGAAATCTACACACGTGAGATGCCTGTCTTTTCAATGAGGTGCAGCCGGATACCATGTGTGCCATTTCACGCACCAAAACAAAATGCCTCATGCATTATGTGCCCAAAACGGGTATATCGTGTTCATGAACTCATTCGAGGCAGGGGGTGAAAGGGCTGTGAATACTTGGTAGAGGGAAATGAGTAGACAGATTGATGCTCCTCATGTCACTGCTGCAGAGAGCCAAGGAGCAGATCACTTGACTGCTTTGTTGACCAGCTTATTATAAAATGCATAGCACATCATTTAGTTGTGTTCTGTTTGCTGTATATTTTTCAGTCTTTGTAGTATCGGGTACCCAGAAGGTTGAATCCATTTGAGAGCTCTCTCACTGATGGAGTCTTGCCAGTTATACTGCATTACTGGCAACAGTTAAGGGATGTGAATCTATTGATCACACAATGTTTTAATTACAACTGAGATGTGTTCATATAAGCGGGTAGAGCAAATATTCTGCATGAACAACAACAAGATTGTATTTATAGAGCGCCTTTCACGTCGGGAGGACGTCCCAAGGCGCTGGACAGTTGGGTCGGGACCTGAGCAGGGGAGAAATGGTCAGGGGGAGGGAAGGGAGGGAGCGAGGAGGGGCTAGAGAGTCGAGAGGGGAGGTGAAGGCACGGTTGAAGAGAAAGGTCTTGAGACCGGCCTTGAAGGAGGAAAGGGAGGAGGCGGCGAAAGCACTGGGGAATGGAGTTCCAGAGCCTAGGGGCTGAGAGGCTGAAAGCCCGGCCACTGATGGTAGGGCGGGGGGTGTGGAGCAGACTGGAGCCAGAGGAACGGAGGGTACGGGCAGGTAAGTAGGGGGATAGTAGGTCGGAGAAGTAGGAGGGTGCAAGGCCGTGAATGGCCTTGTAGGTGAGGATGAGGACCTTGAATTCAATCCTCTGGGGGATGGGAAGCCAGTGGAGGCGAGCGAGGGTGTGAATGATGTGGTCGCGAAGCCTGGTTCTGAATGACCTGCAGCTTGTGCAGGGAGCTGCCGGGAAGGCCGACGAGGAGAGAGTTCCCGTAGTCCAGCCTTGAGGCGATAAAGGCGTGGACCAGAGTTTCAGCAGCGTGAGGGGTGAGGTAGTGCGGTAGTCTGGCGATGTTCCGGAGGTGGTGGAAGGCGGTGCCAGCTGTGGCGCGGATGTGGGGAAGAAAGGACAGCTCAGGGTCGAACAGAACACCGAGGTTCCTGATTGCTTTGGGAGTCTGTTTGCTGCTGTAACAAACACTAGGTGAACACTGAAACCTATTTGTAACCATGGATGTCTGATCGTGTATTTTATCGAACCAGTGGGATCTGAAAGACAGGTTCCCTGCATTTCAGATTTGTGTTTGTCACAGAATACCTTTCTTCCTCACAGTCAGGATTTGATTTCAGCAGCTCAGCAAATGTGCAATAATTGAAACCTTTCATTTTGGCTACTTTCTCTCCTCCCCCATCTCAACCCCTGGCTACTGCTTGGGTACAGTTGCTATCCAGAGATACCAGCTGCTCGGTACATGTGCGGACAGACATTGAGTAGACGTGGGTTTGGGGTCAGTCGATTTCTCCCCCCACTCATAATCTCAACACTCACTGTCCAGACTCGCACGTGAAAATAACAACTAGGTGAGCTACTGTGGAACCCAATTAAAAGTGGAGTCCTGTAGATCAGTGGTTAGAGCACTCGCCTCTCAAGCAAGAGACTTTAGTTCGATTCCCTTGGGCAGTTTCCTTACTCCACACACCTAATAATAATTCCTCAAAAAAAACAATAATAAATTGGTCACTTTAATCCACGACTGTTTGTGGACACTGCTGTGCACAATTAGCTGCCGCGTTTCACCCACAAATATACAGTCAATTCACTTTACAGTCTATTCTGTGAAGCGCTTTGAGATGTCTAGAAGACGTGAAAAGCGTTATATCAAATGCAAGGATTATTATTAAAAGGAAAAATTACTCAAGTGTCTAGAAAAGGAGAGAATAATTTACAAAGGTTTTTTTGCTTTTTTTTTACAAAGGTTTTTTTACTTTCAATTTTTTTAAATGTAAATATCAAGAGGGTTCAGTGCAGCTGGAATGTTCATTTAACCCAGGGTGCAAGAGGAACATGATCCTTATTAGATCCTGTTCAGATTAAATCGCTTAGAAGTAAGCAGATGCGTTTGGCAGAAAACTAATGACTGAACTAAAATAAGTGGAGTGGAGCAAGGGGTGGGTAGAGAGGTTACGAAGCACCATACCAATAGTTTTACATTATAAGTGTTCCAGCCAGAATTGTCTACTAAAGGCAGCGTGGGAATTCTAAACACATTTATCTAAACAAATAGCGTTTTATGTGATCCAATAGTTTTTTTTTTAAAATTGCTGATCCCTGACAAGCTTTTAAATGGAGCTTATTACATTTCATTTGTAAGACACACAAACTGGCACGTGGTTTCTTGCTCACACAGGTGTGTGCGTATCTATCCCTAAGATCACAGCAGAGGTTCAGTCCATTTGATCTCATCCTTACAGAAATACTGCCAACCTTGCCATTTTCCCATTACGTTAAAACTGTTAGTTAAACAAATCTAGTTCCCTGGCCTCTACTACCTTTCCTGGGAACCTGTTCCACCAGTTGATTGACTTCTGTGTAAATAAATACTTCCTGGTGTCTGACTTGAACTTGCCTTTCACTCGCTGTGCTCTGTTGTTCTGCTTGGTGTATCTGAAAGCATTGATCTAGGTTTACCTTATCCCATTTAGCATCTGTATAACAACTCTTAAGTTATCCTCTGAGATGCTTCTCATCAAGGCTAATGCCTCTATTTTAATCAAGTCATTCTTGATAAGATTGTTGCTCTTAATTCACTAAACCTGTGGGAGTTCAAAGTCCAACCCAGGCCTTGTGATTTCTGACCTTTAATAGTGACTGCTTGTGTGCAGGTTCCTGCTGAAGTGGGCAAGAGGTGACTGGAATAATGTAGATATTATTATGGGGGAGGATCCAAATTACATTATTCTTGAACACATTCCATTATTTATTAGGAACAAAATTAAAATACGTTTTCAAATCTCTTCCCAGCTTCTGAATACATTGATGTTGCCCAAACTGACTGAAAAGCCCAAATTCCTTCTCCGAGAGGGTCATTATTGAGCACTGTAGAATACAGTCGTTCTGAGCTTATTCAACAGATACTGAACAAACACAGCTGTTGCTGGACTGTATCCCATGAATAACCTGGGAAGGCAGTATTCATCGCACACAAATTACAAGTCTGAAATCTTTGGACTATCCAAAACAACTTGTTTTCCTCTTTTTGGTTAGCTGAATATCTGCACACCCAGAAACCCATCACCATGCTTAAAGAGTATCCACACCAGATTGAGTGTTCCACATATGTATGCCACCTACACATGGAAATTTCCCTGCGTCTGGAAGAGAAAACATATTCTCTCCCCAGAAGGACGCATCCTGCTTACCTAATTCCGGAGAGTATTTGGTGCAACTTGACAAGAACCAAGGCTTGGGGAGGGCCCCAGAGTGTGCGTTAGTGTACTGCTGGAGTTCAACCAGCTAAAATAGTACAGCTTGACCAAAGCCTGAAGGCATCACCAAAATGAACTCAATGTTACTGCAATGTTACTGGGCATCTGAACTATTACACAGTGGGCACAGCGCATGTGATGGACTAGACTAGTTCATCTGCTTCTGTAGTCCCGGAAAATGTAAGTTGCATTCAGTTACTGCTGTTAAGGGTAAAAATCCTGAATGTTCCTGCTATGTAGTACCCTGAGCAATAATCAGATTTCCTTTTTGTACAGAGATATTTTTCTTCTCTCTTGTTCTCTGCGGACTTTTATTTTACAATTACAGTTATGCACTGCTGAAGAAATACTGTATTTAAAGCAGGAATGGGAGTTAATTATTATGCAGTCAGTTCACTAAATCTGGTTCATTTCAGGATCTTGCTGGCAGTGGTTTTGCTCAGCAGCCCTCAGCTGACTCTCAATCTGCCATCTCTCCTATTCCAGCCCGAGAGAGAGAGAAAATAAGCTCCCCAGACTGTTGAACGTCATTCTTCACATGTTTAAATCTGAAGTGATAACTAATTGCATTGATTGCTGTGTGTTCTGACAGGATGGGAGAACGGCAGAAGATCTCGCCAGAACCGAGCAGCACGAACAGGTTGCCAACCTACTTGCCAGGCTTAAAAAGGTAACTTGTGAGGGTCCTCGCTAGGGTACATGTGTTGACAACCCTTCCTGTATGACATTCCGGCAGCTCACACTTTTCTCCCTCCCGCTGTCGTGCCTGTGAATGTGCTACTCTATAAGAGACTGGTGGTTGAACCTGAAATTTAGATGCAGGAAAATAACAGGATACTTCCAAATTTTGCTCCTTTTCTTGCCCCTCCCCTTCACAAATGTAACTCAGAACCTCCTTGGGCATTAATCCAGATCCAGTTATTCTGCTATTTTTTGGCATTTTACATATAATAATAATCTTTGCATGTGATGTAGGGCCTTTCACATTTGGAAGACATCTCAAAGTTCTTTTGTAGGTGAACCCAGGCGATAATTTGCACACAACATTGTTCCACAATAATATTTGTAAGGCTCTCAGGAGAATTCTTTTCTTGCGCGCTAGCTTATCTCATTTCCCATCTCCCCCCCCCCCAGCCCACCAATACTTCCTGACCCTCATTTGTAGAGTTAGATGCCTTTGCAGCACAGTAGCAAGAGTTTTTTTTTCTCTCGCACATTGACAGAAAACCTTTCAAATTGAAAAACCCAGAGGAAAGCAGTGCTCACAGTGAATGGCAAGCACGTTCATCTCAGGAGTTCAGTAGACATTTGTAATGATTGAGGCCCAGCTGCAGTTACAGTATGTAGCTGTTTTTCCAAATAATGTCATTTATATGCACAGTTCCCACAGGTGATCATTTGTGAGGCAGGAAGCAATTGGGACTTTTGTGTTGCAATATATTCATGTCTGTCGAGCAAGAGGGATGACAATCCATGTATGAATATTGACACCTACTGGATCAAAACTGAACTGCTTTTCCATCTTTTCTCTTCAGATATGTTCATGCATGCAATACCTCTCTCTTATAATAATAATTGCTGCATTTGATATAGCGCCTTATCACGTCTTCGAGACGTCTCAAAGCGTTTCATAGAATATGTCTTCGAGATGGGCATGTTAAGTGAATTGACTGTATCTTTTGTGGGTGAAATGTAGCAGCCAAATGTGCACAGAAGTGTCCCAAAGACAGTTGTGGATTGAGTGACCAAATTATTACAATTTAAAAAAAAATGTATCAAGGGATTATTACCCCCAGCAAAGCGATCCGCCAATCGACTAATAGCTGGGTTCCTAATTATTAGCTAGGTGAACAGAGGCATGTGGACTAAGGAAATTCGCCTTGCCATGAATCAAACCCAGATCCTCTTGCTTCCGAGGCAAGTGCTCTAACCACTACGCTACAGGACTCCATGTTATTCATGCAATAAAAGACTGGACTGATACTTGTCTAGAATGGTTAATATTCTAAATATTCTCTATATGAATATAAATGAGTCAAACTTAAGCCAATGCTCTGAGATGCTACCCCATTTGAAAGGTGCTATGTAGAATGCAAGTTGTTCTTGTTGGGATGTTTATTTTCATAGATTATCAAGATACATTGCTTCAGAGATGAGCACTTTTAAGCAAGTGTTTTATTAGTGTCACTTACTGGTGGTATATGTACAGGGCTCCGTGTCAAGAAGTGAACCTTGTGTTGATTTTGCTGTTGCTCTAGGATACGCACAGAGGAATCTTCATTCAGCAGCTCAGGCCGACTCAGAACTCCCAGCTCCGAATAAAACTCAAGCTGTTCGGACACACAGGGTCAGGGAAGACCACACTCATCGAATCTCTCAAGTGCGGGCTACTGCGAAGCTTCTTCAAGAGACGCAGGCCTCGTCTCTCATCCACCAACTCGACTCGCTATCCACCCTCCCCTTCATCGTCAAAACCATCAGGTATTTTGTCCTTCTTGCAACATCAAACTAACCATTTGTTGTGCTCTGGCATTTATCATGGCAGAGCTGTTCCTTGGTGTTGCAGCACATCTGTGGAAATAGTGTTAATTCTTTCAAATTAGCTGGATTTATTTTAGGAAGTAATATCTTTAGCAACTGCTAGAATGGTGGAAGGCGAACTGGATAGACCTGTGTCTTCTTTCATCTAACAAATTCATATGTTCTTAAGTGCTTCATGTCTCTCTCAGTGCATGGCCAGTTTGAAAACGAAATGTGGTAAGAATGTTGCTGTTGCCTGTGGAGGTGAGTTGTAGCTTTCTCATAGCACCAAAGTACTGCTGATAGCTCTGTCTGTTCAGTTTACAGCCCCGCCCCAAAGGCAAGGGGACAGTTAGACATCGTCAGTCTGGCACAGTTGGCAGTACTCATGCCTCTGGGTCAGAAAGTTGTACGTTAAAGCCCCACAATGGGACTTGAGTTCTTAACCCAGGCTGACACTCCAGTGCCGTCAGTATTGGGAGATCGCTGCATTTGATTTTGCTTATAAGAGAACATTTGTTCTTTCAGGTGGACAGTAAAGATCTCAGGCACAATTTGAAAAGAAAGTGATCTTTTCCCCCAGTGCCCTGGCCAACAATGTCCCAGACTCTACAACTCAACTCCCACTTTAATTTAATCCTGTCAAAGTTTATGCAGTAGAAGATAAGAGAAAGGGTCCAAAAGGACGAGAACAGAGTAATTGTCATGGTTTGCTGCCTTTTGCTCATAAATATTTAACATTAATGGTTAATTTTTAACCCTAACATGCAGTCAATGCTATATGCCAAACTGAAAATTATGGATGAAAATTGTGATGTGCTAAATTTAGCAACCTTGTGACGATGAACACAATGATCGACCTCTTAAATGTGCTGAAGGTGCAACTCTTTCTCCTCCCACCCACCCTCCTTCCACCCCTCTCTGATATTCAGCAAGTTAGAAGATAGATTTTACTGTGTTTTTTGTCTGGTTCTGCCATGATCCAGTAGTCTATTACCAGGCCAGTCTGTCAACATGCCTGTTGAAAAGGGTCTCTCTTACTTGCTCGATCTATTGTTCTCTTTTGATCTCTTTCTTTCTCTCTTGCGCTCTCTCTCTCTCCCTCTCTCTCATGCTCCCTCTCTGTTTTTCTCTGTCTCTCTCTCTCTTGCGCACACTCTCCCTCCCCTTTCACCTAACAACCCTCCCCAAGTTCTGCCTTCCCACCATGTGTTGGGCCGAGACATCTGTAAAGCAGAAAACCTACAGATGAAGAGGAAGGCTTGTGGAAACTTGCTAATGTGATCAACTCCGATAACTTATTTCTAAAAAATCCTTACCCTTTCCTCACGAGGAGCCCTCACCACAGCTGCTAGTTCTGCAAGTCAGTTATTTTGTGCCTTGCGTGTTTTGATTATTTCTGTGTTTAAGTTTCAGTGAGTATTACGAATTTGTACCCTGGCTGTGAGAACGTCAGTGTGAGGTGCCGGAGCATGATGTTCGAACCGAGCCTCACCAAAGGCATGCTGGAAGCATTCGTTTCACCCTCTCACAATAACCACTCTACCATTGATGATCAGTCCACCAAAGCTGTCGACATCCAACATGCCAACGTGAACGGTAGGAAATGACCACTTATCCACAAACTGAAGCCTGTCTGTACTGGCCACTCCTTTCAGTGGCCTGCTGTGTCAATTGGCTGCCGCATTTTGCCCACAAAATATACAATCAATTCACTTTACAGTATATTCTGTGAAGCGCTTTGAGACGTCTAGAAGACGTGATAAGGTGCTATATCAAATGCAAGGATTATTATTATTATAGTGCAGACATTCTCACCATAAATCCTGCTGTGAATTCAAAAGCAATGTTTGCATTGCAATGGATTGATTTGATTTTTACTACCAAAAAATTTAGAAAATTTGACACTTAGAGCACAGAAAGGAGCCATTCAGCCCATCGTGTCTAAAACCAGATCCTTAAAAAAAATGTAAGCATGCTCTGTTTTTATATATAAATATATGTATGTATTAGATTTATACTGCATTGTTGGTGAGTATCCTTTGTTTGGTTGGATTTGTACATAGGAACATGAGGAGGCCGTTCAGCCCTTCGAGCCTGTTCCGCCATTTAATTAGATCATGGCTGATCTGTGTTTTTTCTCACTAATAAGGCTATTTGCCACTTCAGAGTGAACATTTTCAATGTTATTTTCAGGAGTTGGTGATTTCAACATCTGGGAGTTCTCTGGCAATCCAGTCTACTACTGCTGTTATGATTACTTTGCTGTGAATGATCCCACTGCTGTCCACATGGTGCTGTTCAGTCTCGAGGAACCGTACGAAACGCAACTGAATCAAGTGACCTTTTGGCTCAATTTCCTGAAATCTCTGATCCCGGCTGGGGAACCCATAGGTACGAGTTTCACCCACACGACTCAGTGCGGAGTTTCCAGAATTACTTCACAGACTTCCATCATATTGTTGCATTAGATATGTGCAGCAACTGTTGATTTAATGACTAGAGTGTTTCCCTTCTTCAACTTCTTTGATAAAAGTAGGTAAAAGTAGATAGCAGTGTCTCATTTGTGTGTGTGTGGGGGGGGGGAGGTGGGGCTAAAACACAGCAGGTTTGCGTACTCACAGTGTGATTATTCTGGCACCCTATCTATGCTATACGCTCGCTCCCTCCACTCAGCCTATTGCAACCCCGCCCCCATTTCAACTCCACTATCGATGAGTGAGTTTTCAGCCATTCTGCCCCTGGATCTGGTTTGCTGACATTGTGCTCAGTGCTGCCGCTCATAATGTATCCACTTAATCTCGTTCAGAAATCATTTTGACAGGCCATGGCTCATATAGGTTAAACCAGTTATGTTTCACATTGCCTTTTTACATGACCAAAGGATGTATGCAGGCTAGGGATTTGATCAAATATTGTTCAAAAGCATCAGAGGATCCTGTTACTCAACTTAAATTTGTGTTCAATCCCTTGAGCTCCACGGTACTGTTTCAATACTGAACTGAAAGAGATAACTTGGCAGCTGGAGTGTTAGTGGAGAAGCACTAGTTGCTCTGGAGCAGGAGGAGCTATGCTGGTGTCAGCCACTCCCATGTACTCAGTCGCAGTACGGACGTGCACTGTGGAGAGGTGCCAAGTGGAGACGAGGCACTTACCATAAGGGGGAATCCTCCTCAGGTTACTCAGTGCCACCTGTTGGTGAGTTCAACAGCAATACCAGATTGAGGTCAGTTAATTTGTCATTTGTAACCATGGAAGCCCTTTTTTGAGAAAGCAATGTCCATTCTCTTAAATCATTCATAGATGAGCATTAGGTCGTGACTGGAGGCAGGAAATTACTGACTTTGCTTAACTTCTCTTCCACCCACCCATCTAGCCCAGAGACATGGGGCCATATCGTAGCTTTATTACCAGCTGCGATTACCTAGCTCAGCTCAGAAGGTAGACAGTGGATAGATGGTAGAAAGTGCTCTGGGACTCTACTCTGCGTGAGGGGTGCTATATAATTACAAGTTGTTGTTGTTTGATAGCTACAGTGGGCACAGGTATTAACTGAACCAAGTTGTCATCTTCTGGGCTGTAAACTGTTTTTGTTTCAAGCAATCAAGCTGATGGCTACTCTGGTATGTTTCCTTCTGTCTATGCATTCTCTCCATTCAGCCTGGCCCAGTTAGCTGCACAGTTGCTGCTTTGGGTTCAAGCCCCACAGTGGAGCTTTAACTGGCCTGCTTCACGTCCCCCGCCTTGCTCGCCCCACTATCAGCGTGCGGGCCTTCCGCTACTGTGCACCCACCCTCTGGAACTCCATCCCGCAGTCCCTCCGTCTCGCCCCCTCTCTCGCCACCTTCAAGACCGACCTCAAAACCTTCCTCTTTGACTGTGCTTTCAATCTCCCTGCTTCCCCCCCCTGCCCTACGCCCTCCACCCTCCCCCCCCCCCGACCCTCAGCTCGGGTCCAAAACTCTGTCTGTCCAGCGCCTTGGGACGTCCTCCCGACATGAAAGCCCTGTACAAATGTAATTTGGTGGTGGTTGTTAACTCATATGTCTCAGCTGACACGGTCAGTGCAGTATTGCAGTATGGTTGCCGCGTTCGCCCACAAATATACAGTCAATTCACTTTACAGTGTGTTCTGTGAAGCGCTTTGGGACGTCCTCCCGACGTGAAAAACGCTATATCAAATGCAAGGATTATTATTATTATTATTATTGGGAGGGGTTGGGAGTTGCTGTGTTGTCGGAGGTGCCATCCTTCAAGCTCCTTACCGACAGTCCACCAAGTAAATACATCAATTAGCACATGGCTCGTGTGGAATGTTGCTGTGCATAATTACTGTCAAATCTTTTCAGATGTTTGGATGTTAAAAGTCTCTAAAAATAGAACTTGACCAAATAGAACCTCACCTTCCATACCAATTGCTACCACCAGGGGGCCCTGACAAGCTTTCAACAAAGAGTGCTGTTACCGTACATCATATCATACATGATATAAGACATATAATGTGTAATCCTCAATAGTTATATATACTATATGATATAATCTATATACATGAGATTTTTAGATCTCTAGCAATATATTTAGATCACCTGCTGCCAGGACTTGCCAATTTGATTTTACATGTTCTGATTTGGCAGAACCGTTGATCTCGTCATTTGACCTTTAAAGTAATAGATATATTTATACTCTAATATTGTAATGTTATAAGTTTTACATTACACAGTGAATACAAAATGTTACACACTCCCTAATAACCAGCATTTCATAAGACAAAGACAGGGAAAATGTAGAATTTAGTAATTGCACGGAATGATCATAGAACTCTTGAGACGCAGTCCGGCATGGAGGGCACTATATAAATCCAAGTTGTTGTTGTAGCTAGTTTTTATAGTCATAAGAGTGAAAGATACAGTTCAGATGTTGGATGTGTAAATAAAATGCAGCAACCAGATATTCTTATTCTGTCCTAAGCAGCTTATTTCAAGAATAGATTTTTTTGAGAGAAGTTGACATTTATAACTTTGTGGACTTGTTGCCTATTCTTTCCCCGGCTTCAGTTGGGAGTAGCTCTGACACTTGTCCTGATTTCTAAAATTGTTAAAAGCAGATTGTTTCCTCCACAGCCTTCGGTGGGAAGCTGAAGAATCCTTTGCAGGTGGTTCTTGTTGCCACACATGCAGACATTGTGAACTGCCCTCGAACCTTTGGAGGGGAGTTTGCATACGACAAAGATCTCTCACTTCTGAAGGAAATCCGCAGTCGGTGAGTAGAACCATAGAAATGTACGGTACAGAAGAAGGCTGTTCAGCTCAACTTGGCCCCATTTGCTCCTTTACTAATTATCTTAAATTGATGACTTCTAGTTACTGACCCAGTGACCAACCAAGTAGTCAGGAGTATTTTCGGAGATGCCTGCTGCAGAGTCCATTCCCTTTTTATAGCTGTGGTAAGGGAGCAAGCCCGAGCCTCCATATACATATGTCTTAAAAAGCAATAGTGAGAGCCAAAAAAAACAATGAATCTTCCATTCAGTGCTCAAAGTATTACTGCAACAAAAGTTGCTGTATACTGACCTTCAACAAAAAAGACAGAAAGCAGCCTTTAGCGTTGTCTCGGGCAAGAGAGAAAAGTGAATTGCTTCTCAATTTATTTCCATTTTTCTGCTGCAGTACCCAATTCAATCATCTGGTTCCTTTTGAATCCCTGACCAATTGAAGAACTGTCAATAGCAGGTGATGTAGAACCAGCAATTTTTTTATTTTTGAAGAGCCGCTGACATCATTCAGAGTGTTTTGTCAGCAGACCAGACTGTACCCGGAACCACTGAATAGTCTGCAGAAAATAACCCCAGCACAGCTCCCATAGTGGCCAAGTGACTGGAAGTAAGTCTCGCAAGCCATAGGGTCACAAGTTTGATTGCATGGTCCGTGGTTGAGTTTGCTGATCTCAGCAGGGCCTGTAATATATTTGAGCTCAGCCCTCCTGGGCTAGAGAGGGGGCAAAGCCAGCCTGGGATTCAGCTCCTGGCAGCTATCAGGTTGGTATAGTAGGTGAGGCCTGAATTCAAATATATTTTGTCTTAAACAAATAGCATCCCACAGTCGGGACACTACATAGTCAATGCTACAGTACAATGTCCTCAAGTGGTTTTTAATGCTAATAAGATGTTTGTTTTTGTCTTTTTAGCATAACTACAATCTGTACCCAAGGTTGCCTCACGTCATTCTCTGGCACAGTGTGGAAAATCCTTTCAATTTGTGCATTTTTTTTCATTTCACTGCACTGCCAGGAACAAACTGTGAAGGGCTTTGATCAATTAGCATTATGTTCAATGGGGCAATGTGATTTTTTTTTGTGGGTCTGTAGGTTTGGAAACGACATGCATATCTCTGACCGACTGTTCGTGCTGGACGTGGGGGCGTCCGGATCCAAAGATATGAAGCTACTACGGACTTACCTGCTGGAATTAAGATATTGGATTATTTCCGTAAGTGTATTCGTCACCAAGAACTGTTGCAAAGATGGCTCATAGTCTAGGCTGACTTTCCAGAGTAGCAGTGTTGGAGGTGCTGTCCTTTGGATGAGACATTAAAACCAAGGTTCTGTCTGCCTATTTTTGGTTGAACNAAAAAAATCCCATAACACTGTTTGAAAAGAAAAGGAAGTTTCTCCCAATAGACAACAAGCTCCACTTAACTTAGTCATTCGCCCCATGACTGATTGTGCGACGCTGCTGTGCGCAAAGTGTCTGCTACAAAATACACAGGCACTACATTTTACAATGAAATCCCAGGCTGCTCCTTGAGAAGGTTTGACATTGTGCCGTATCACACAAGGATTGTTATTGCATGGATTTATAGGGGGAGTGGAATGGAAGAGGTGACCCAGTCCTTGCATAGAGAGAGAACTGGTGAGGTTTCAGGCACGTCAGATCTTGTGGATTCTGGTGAGTCTCATCAGCTTGTGGAATGTACATCACAGGCTAACCTTGTCCTCACCTAACATATACAGTCACTCACTGGATAGTGATCAAGAGCAGAAACCCAGACTATTTCCCCTCCCTCTATCCAGCCTTGAGACATTGAGGCCGATTATTGGCCTGAGTGAGATCAGATAACTAAGCACAGATTAGAAATATTCGGCACAGAAGGAAGCCTGCTGACGTTTTCCTAAATCACCTCCCATCTTTCCAGCTCTTTCCTCACATTCCTGACACATTGCAGTCTGTAAAGTCTAGTCCCTCCCCATCCTGAGTTTATCCCAGCTGGAGTGCTGCAGATTGTTTTAGTACAGGAGGAAGGTGGGAAATCAGCCAAGTGTACACTGCTGATTGGTGCATTGATCTCTGTTGAGGCGTGTATTTGGCTGAATGTCAAGTGATCCAGACCCCCCTCTCTATCCCCCTCCACACAACACATACACAGGCAAATAATGTGTCAATACCGACTGACTGTCTTGAGTTTTGCACTTGAAGAAGTACCAGGCAGAGAGTAGTCCTTTTACATAAAGGTGACCCTTTGTGTAAAGAGCACATTCTGGACTTGCATTTCACCAGTTTATCTCTAAACCCTCACGTGAGTTCCTGCCTTCAGAAGAAAAGGGAAGAAATTCAAGGTGGGGACCACTAACGATGACAAAATAAATATCTTTTCTTAAAGTTTGTTTTATTTGTTTTAAATCCTGTAACAGTATAATAACCATAATCCTTACATTTTATATAGCCTTATGACATCATTGAGACGGCTCAAAGCACTTCATTGAATATATTGTAAAGTGGATTGACTGCGTATTTTTGTAATAATAGTATTTTGTGTTCAATGGGAAGCAAGTACAGTAACTGTTTTGTTTAAATCAATTGTGTGAAGTTAATGTTTTTAGCACAATTAGCTATTGCGTGGGTCGTGCTGTGATATGAAAAATGAAGGAATACTTTTGTGTCTTGATCCCTTTCAGGCTTGTCCACCCATGACGTTCCTTTGTGAGAAAATCATCTCCATTCTGCCTTCCTGGAGGAAACGGAATGGGCCAAACCAGTTCATGTCGTGGCAGCAGTTTGTTTACGACGTGCAGGACCGAATCAACCCCTTGGTGAGCGAGGAAGATCTGAGGGAGTTGGCGCAGCAGCTGCACAGCATGGGAGAGGTGAGTGGAGCTCTGGGTGCTTTGTCAGGGACAGTGAGCTACAGCTCATCTATTCAGCGTGTGCTCAGGAACTCTCGCCAGTAAGAGTTGAGGGAATAGAATAAAAAAAACTGTTTCTCTTCTCAAATTGTTTGTGAGAGAGTTTCAGAAAAGATTTAGAAAGGATTTCAACCCAGGACTTGAGGATCAAAGAATAGAGTTCCAGTGACAGGGCAGCACCACACTGTGAGACACTGCAGCTGGTCACCAGTTATTTTGATTGACACAAGCTCCGTAACTGATGTGCCCAGATACAGGTTTTGATCCATTTATCAGCAATGATTTTAAACGTTGACATTAAAAATGGTTTGATATAGTGCTGTGTCCCCTGGAGACCTACTGTGGAGCCACACACTGAAGGCTAATACAATTGATGGTAGCAATGTATCCTCTGAAGTGAGGAATGTACAGCAATACACAGCAATAAACAGGCAGGTCCAGCAGTGGCAGCTTAACCTGGAAGTCAGCATTTGTTTTGTGATTCACTGTAATGTGGTCGGAGATGCATTGGACCCGGCCAATGGGATGATAACTAAAATTCCCTGTATCCGCTGACACTGCTGAAACCACATACTTGTGATTGTTGGGTGTCTCCATTTTTACACTGTTCTCCAGTATCTGGAGAAAGAAACCTATTTGAAATATCCTTCCAGAATACCAATCCTACCAGTGAGGAGGGAGGGGGGTGAGAAGTAAAGTTTCCATGATGCTGAGCTGGTTCCAGGGAATCGAGTCAGCTCTCTATGGCGGTCTCTAGTATGGTTGCTGAGCCAGGCGGGTCTGCAGCCTCCAGGGCACTACTGATGACAGCAGGCATCCTGGTTCATTGGTAAGACTTGGAAAGGCGAACTGGTCACTTTGAGCAGGGATTCCACCAACTCAATGCCTGTTAACTCTTTAACCCTGCGAGCCAAAGCCCCAACAGGTAGAGTAGTCCAAACTGAGAGGAGGAAGGTGACCAAAGGCGCAGTCGAAAAGAAAGGTCTTCAGTCGAGACCTGAAAATAGGAAGAGGGGGCGCGAGGCGAAGGGAGTGAGTAAGGGAATTCCAGAGCCTCGGGGCATAGTGGTTGAAGGCACAGCCGCCGAGGGTTGAGCGGAGGACTCGGGGGACAAGGAGGAGGCCAGACCCGGAGGAACGAAGGCAACGGGTACCGTTTTGAGGCGAGAGGAGGTCAGAGAGGTAGGGGTTGCAGAGGAGTAGAGGGATTTGAATACGAGGGTGAGGATCTTGAAGTCGATCCTTACTGGGATAGGCAGCCAGTGCAGTCTGGCAAGGACTGGGGTCATCGGGGAGCAGAGTTTGGTGCGGGTGAGAATGCGGACGGCAGAGTTTTGAATGATTTGGATTTTATGGATGGTAGTGGATGGGAGACCAGCAAGGAGGGCGTTAGAATAGTCCAGCCGAGAGGTGATAAAGGCATGGACTAGGGTTTCAGTGGCTTTTGGAGAGAGGTATTGGCAGAGACGGGCGATACGTCAGAGGTAGGAGAAGACAGGTGCTGGGGAGGGACCGGATGTGGGGGAGGAAGGATAATTGGGTCGAACCTGATGCCTAGATTGCGTATGGGTTCAGAGAGTTTTAGGGGGAGATCGGGTAGGTGGAGGAGTTAGGAGCCGTAAGATTTTAGACGTTGACGAGAGCCAAAGAATATGGCTTTCGTCTTGTCAAGGTTCAGCTGAAGGAAATTTACGCTCATCCAGCCCCTGAGGTCTGACAGGCAGGCTGACAGAACATCAGGGGACTGGCGGTTGCAAAGAGAGGTGGAAAAAATTTCTTGACCGTGCCTTCAGCTCCCCTCTCGACTCTCTACCCCCTTCTCGCTCCCTCCCTTCCCTCCCCTCACCCTGACCATTTCCCCCCTCCTCGCTCCCTCCCTCCCCTCACCCTGACCATTTCCCCCCTCCTCGCTCCCTCCCTTCCCTCCCCTCACCCTGACCATTTCCCCCTTGCTCGGGTCCTGACCCAACTGGACGTCCTCCCGACGTGAAAGGCGCTCAATAAATGGAATCTTGTTGTTGTTGTTATAAGATCTGTTGATTGTACCGGCCTTTGGTCTGACCCATCGGGATATTGGGGAATAACAAACGAATAATAATAAAACAGTCTGATATCTGGTTAAAGGAATTAGCGTTATTTCCTTACAGAATTGGCTGATTTTATTTTCTAACAGGGCAGGGACTGATCTGGAAGAGAGGGACTGGTTGATGACGTCAGCCAGTAGTGGGCAGAGGAGGGGGAGCTGGGTGACCAGCAAGTTGGTGGGGAGGGGGTTGAGGCAGCAGGTGGTGGGTTTCATGGAGGTGATGGTGAATGAAGCACATGGTGAATGAAGTTTATTGGCCAGTAAGAAAAATCTACCTTGTGTACTTTCTGATCGCCTCATTTTTCACAAAGAAATTAAAACATTGTACTAAATCCACAGTAGGAACAATATGTACAAAATATATTTGGGTGAGATTACAGAACAGTAAGTGATACAATCAGAGAGCTAACTGGGAAGGTCATAAGACTAAGTTCTTGAGAAGCTTAGTCATTAAACCACAGATCAAATCACTGCCTGGATATTGCGTAGTAATAGGTTGGGAAACCGAGGGTTCTAGCCGTTTTATAGAACTACAACCAACCCAGCATGAGTCAATATCTTGTCAGTGTCTTGAGTGGAGGACAAAAACAAAGTGTTGGCAAGCTACGATATTTTTTTAAATATTTTGATTTTAATCTACGTAAGCTTTGCCTCCCTTTTTCTCAGTTCTTTCAATTTTTCTCTCTCCTAAAGGTTTGATAATCCTTTATCAAATGCAAGGATTATTATTATAACAAAGTGCCTTACCACGTCATCGAGACATTTCAACGTGCTTCACCGATGTATTGTAAAGTGGTGTGTCTGTGTTTTGTAGATGAAATTCTGCGTTTGAATTAGGTTTCCTATGGGTGTGGCTCATTCTGCGTTACCACATCCAAGTAGACATGTAGATATTCTTCCAGTGTACACCTGGCAGAGTCTGTGTTGGCAGCTGTTCTACTGTGGAGGTAATCGCAGACTAACCCAATCGATGTCCTCAATCATTGTCCATTATTATACTTTTCAACAGCGTTCACAATAGGAGCTAGAAAGTGAGAATCTGGTTGTACTAGTTTTCACTTAGCTTAGGCCATGGTGCTGATGCCTATTGAAGCATCTCTAATGAGGTTAGCTGATTTAAGAGTTTAGGATGCAATGCCTGTAAAATCTAATTTTACGGGTAGTGTTTCATTGTGAACAACTTGTTTTGACTTGTCTTCAAATGAACTTTAGGTTCATCCTGGCTCTCAAATAGCCTTATTGGTAGAGCTTCAGATTGACTGAATATTCTGAATAGCGAGTAATTAAACCNTTTTTTAAATACTTTTGCCTGTCTGTTCGTTGTCTGCCCAAATTTCATTTTTCTGTTCTAATCTTTGTTCCCTTACATCTGTCCATTTGAAATGAATTGTAAACTATTAGCCCGTAGTTGAATTTGTTCTCTATGGATTCCACTTGTGTTGAATCAAACAAATATGTCCAAAAAAGACTGTGCTTATAACATTTTTGCCAACAGATTTGAGCTAGAAATCAAACCAAAGAAAGTTTACAATATGGAAGGAGGCCATTCAGCCCATCGAGCAATTTGCTGTAATCCAATTTTCTCATCCACTTGTTCCATGGTCCACATGCTGCAAACCCCCTCTAACTCTACTTTCCCTCTATATCCCTTAAAATATTTATATTCTCCATTCCAGATTATTCTTACTCTCTGTGAGAAGTAATTTTTGCTCAACTCATTTTACCTTAACCTTAGGGTCATTTAGGGTAAAGTCCTCTTTTGCTGCCTTCTGGCTTGTCAGGTGAACACTGATGATATTTCCTGCTCGCAATGTGCAGGAAGTGTTGCTGAAATCAGTTCTTTCAATAAGTGAAGTCTGTGGGGCTTTGGATAGCGCACCGGTATAGAGCACTCAGGAAGTGTTGTCAGCGATGACCTGATACCTCGGAAGGTGTCCATTGTTTAGTCCAGGAATACAGCCAGTCAGCATGGAAGCCAGGTGTTCTGTGCTTGCAATATACTGCGTGTCCACAATATAGACCCACGCTAAACTGAGGTACCTGGAAGTGGTGTTGACCTGTATTTTGTGAAACTATATAATTCTACACCTTTCCATCAAAGCTTCGTGCCTCCTCTTTGTTCTGTCTTGCATCAGTGGAAATAGTCTATTATTATTTACCCATCAAAACCATTTATAGGTTAAACATTGTTGCTTTAGCAGAAACAGCCCCAACTTTTCACTTTCTCCACATTACTATAATGTCATCCCTGGTATTTTTTTATATACGTGTGTGTGGTATAAACAATTAAGGGGATCAGCGTTTCCCTATCTCCCCAACATTGCCGCCTCTGCCACTACCTCTCCCCTGGGGTTGCTGAGACCCTTATCCTGGCTTTTATCCCATCCAGGCTCCGCAAACCTATTACCTCCACCCTTGCTTGGCTCCACTGGCTTCCCATCCTCCAACTGGAGTTCAACTTCATCATCATTTTTAAATCCCTCTATGGTCTTGCCCCAACCCCCACCCTACCCCCACCTTTGTGACCTTCTAAAATCTTACCAGCTTGCCCAGTCCCTCCTCTCAGCAGGCACTGGCCTGCTTCATAACCCCCACCCTACCAGTCTTTCTGCTCCCACTCCATCCCGGAGTGCCTTCACGTCCCCCCCATTCCTCGACTCCTTCAAGGTCTGTCTCAAGACCTTTCTCCTTGACCATGCCTTTGATCATCTTCCACCCCCACTCCCAGCGTTTATCCCAACTGAATCCATCCCCCAACTTGTGTGCAAATCCTCAACTGTGCAGCGCCTCAGGACGCCCTTCCTATGTGAAAGACACTGCATAAACACGATTTGTTGTTATTCATTAATAAGCCACGTTTGCCAACATGCTGCATTGTTGAAAGTACCGTCCTATAATGAGACATTAAATTGAAATGGACATTAAAGATCCCATGGTACTACTTGAAAAGAGAAGGGTATTTCTTCCAGTGTGCTGGCCAGCAATCCCTCAGATGAAATTGGTCATTCACTGTTTGTGCTGACATGTTCACGTACGAAATGCACAGCCACTAAACTTTACAATGAAGTCCTGTGAAGCGCTTTGAGTCATCCTTCCGACAGGACAGACAATGCATCAAATGGAAGTATTATACTTATTTATTATATATATATATATTGATTTTCAAATGCACTGATTACTTGTTCTCTCAACCTTGTTTGTCGCTCAGATCAATATTTTACAAAGTGAAACAATCCAAGATGTGGTGTTGCTGGATCCTCGGTGGCTGTGCACCTACGTGCTGGGAAGGCTTCTGTCCAATGAAAATCAAAAGGCTTTGCACCACTACAGAGGCCGATACACAATCGATGACATCCAGCACCTGGTGTTGGAAAACGATGTGGAGGAGCTATTACAGATTCTGGATGCCATGGATATCTGTGCTCGGGATCTGACCAGTGGTTCAATGGTTGATATCCCTGCTTTAATTAAAGTGGACAGTCTACACCGCTCCTGGACTGAAGAAGAGGATGAAATGTTGGTTTACGGAGGAGTCCGGTTTGTTCCCGTTGAATATCATACCCCATTCCCTTGTGGTATTTTCCACAAAGTCCAGGTGAACCTTTGTCGGTGGATACATCAGCAGAACTCTGAGGGAGAGATGGATATAAGGTTATGGACGAACGGATCAAAAATATCCAACAAAGGGACCGAAGTCTTAGTGTTGCTGGTCAACCACGGACAAGGTGTGGAGGTACAAGTCAGAGGGCCAGAGGTCGAAAAAATAAGGTGTTATATGTTTCTGGATTCTATTTGTAGCGTGATAGATAATCTGATGGCGACTACCTTGCCTGGACTTCTGGCTGTGAAGCATTACTTGAGCCCCCAACAGCTCAGGGAACGCAGTGAACCTATTATGGTTTACCAGCCCAGAGACTTCTTTCGTGCTCAAGTGCACAGAGAGACATCTTTGACCAATGCTATGGGTGGCTACAAAGAGAGTTTCAGCAGTATCCTCTGCTTTGGTTGCCATGATATCTACTCCCAGGGAAGTCTAGGTATGGATATCCCTGTGTCAGAACTGAACAATCTTGCCAGACGAAAACTTATCCGCCTTCTTGACCCACCGGATCCTATGGGTAAGGACTGGTGCCTACTGGCTACTAATTTAGGCCTTGTTGATCTTGTTGCAAAGCTCAATGTGCAGAATGGGACTTCAAGAGAAGGTAAACTTCCTGCGAGTCCGATGGATACTCTTTTAAATGAATGGGCAGCTTTACCAGAGAGTAATGTTGGACTTTTAATGTCAAAACTGAGGGGTCTCGGTCGTCGAGATGCTGCAGATTTTCTTTTAAAGGCCTCGGCCATTTTCAAAGTTAACTTAGATACCAATGGACATGAAACCTACGCATCTATTTGCAATGGAGGAACATCTTACAATTCAATCAGCTCCGTAGTTTCGAGGTAAAAAGAATGAATCCTGTTAAAGTTGGTTAAAGAGGTGCAATGTTACTTGTGTTCCCTCTGTCTCTCGACAGGGAGGCAATACTCGAATTTTATGCTGTGAACCTTTCTACTTGCAAGTGATGATCTACACTTCTTCAGTACTTAACAATATAAATGTTTTATCACATTGGTACATTCTGCAAAGTTCAGTGTAGTTTGAATAAAAGTTGCAATTATAGAATTGAAACTGTTTTTACAAAGTGCATCTGCTTACACAAGAACTGTCCCCGTGTAGAAGCCTGTGGAGAGGTTTTTGTTTTGGACTGCAAGGGAATCTCTCCTTTCTGTCTGTGTGTAGTTGTGGACAAGAGTTTCAGGAGATGCTCTCTGCAGGAAAGTGAATTTTTTTATATACAGTATTTACCTACATTTTTCCATCATCTGACGACCCATTTATCTTTTTAAGACTTTCTATAGTTAAAGGTTGTGGGGGAAAAGGCAAATGTGCTGATTGATAATAAAATGTGTAAATGTCAACAACCAAATGTGAGTGCCTTTTCAGGAAAGGTTTCCTGATGTAAGTAGACCAATACTTGTTAAACCTTTTACCTAGGAATCTTCTACCTCCCCATTACTCTTCTCTGAGTAACATTATACCATATAAAGCATTTGTACATTTTGTTTTGTATCGGCTAAATTTTTCCATTTCAGTCAAATTGTCCTGATAATGAAGTGGTGTACCCACAGCTTAAAAGGGAACAAGATAATGTGGTAGTTTCATGTGCATTGACAATAAAAGTGATGTATATTAAAATTTAACTATTGGAAAATTTTCCATGTTTGATCTATTTATATTTGCTCTTATGGGGGGAAAAATGCATGTAATTTTAATGTTGCAAGTTGTACACTTGGAAACTTTTTAGTGTAGTGGAATAAACATGAAGCGTTTTTAATAAAGTTTACTTACGAAATGCGCTGACTTTTAATGTCTCAGCAAGTGCAAAAGGACATTGTTTAGCTATGTGGTGAAACATTATTATTATTGAGAAGCAGAGAAATGTATGACTATTTGCTCTTGAATTGGCCAGTAGCATCTCAGTAGCCTTTTCTGGTCCTTTACATTCTGCATTCCTGAAAAGAGCATAGACATCATACTTCATCAATGACCACACAATTTACATAGCACCTTTCAAATCGGGAGGGCATCTCATTGTTCTTCACTGGTTGGGCACGCGATCTGTGGGTAATCTGTGAAAGATGCTCGAAAGCGAGTCATAGGTATGTTTTGAGATGCGTCTTAAAAGACAGAAGGGAGGGAGCAAGTCGGAGGATTCTGGGATGGAATTAAAGCCTGCTCACCAATGCTGGGATGGGTAGCGTGGGGGACATGAACCAGACTGGTGATCACTAAGTGAAGGGAGTGGCCAGGTCGGTAGGGTTGAAAGTGGTTGCAAAGGTAGGGTGGAGAGAGACCGTGGAGGGATGTAAAGATTCGAATGAGGATCTTGAACTTGATCTGCAGGGGAATGGGGAGCCAATGGAGCTGAGTGAGGTTGGGGGTAATGGGCTTGCGGACTCGTGCAACTTGGACAGAACCTTCTGGTATCACATCTGACACTCAGCAAACTGAGCTCCCTGGATTTTTTGCCATAGAAAGCAGTCAGTGAGAAGGCCACTATCAAACATGATTTAGTTGCTAATTAAACCATAGCGTGTGACATGGCTATTACAATGGAGCAAACTTACGGACTGGTGAGTGACCATGTGACTGTGTGTTGCAACAGCACCATGTTTATGGAGAAGATAAAGTACATATTCCTATTTGGGGCAACTTGGTCCTTGCATGTATTCCCAGAGATTTTTGAGAGAGAGAGAAAACACTACCACTTGTGATTTAGAAACAGAACTTTAAGATAGGAGAAGGACATTAGACTCGTTGGTCTATGCTGACTCTTTGAAAGATCAATCCATTCAGTTCCATTTACCTGATTTATCCCCATTCCCTGCAAATTACTCCTTGTGAGATTTCTATCTAGTGTCCTCTTAAAAGGTTAGATAGATTCTGCCTCGACCACCATTCCCAGGAGCATGTTCTAAATCCTAATCCCTTTTGTTAATTATCTTAAATTGATGCCCTCTTGTCATTGACCAGTAGAAATAATTTCTCTTATCTACTGTATCAAAACCACTCATAATTTGAAGGATCTCTATCAGCGTCTCCCTTCACCATTCTCTGTTTGAGTGAAAATAGATCCTCCATTCTTTGTATCTGAACATCTCAGGATGGTTCAGTTAAATCAAACAAGAAGCTTTCGTTCCAGTTTGAGGTCAAGCCCTTCACAGTGTTACTGCCCACATGAGTGAGATTCTTTCGAAAAGGGTCACAATCTTGTATGTAAGCGCACTGTTCATTTTTCCCTTTCAGATAAACAGCAAGGATTAGATGTTTAACCAATTTAGCCAAATTGAAAACTGAGAGATCTTCAGTTTGCATTGCCTGAATGTGTTATTTTCCAGGAATAGCTAACTAGCTCTCGATTAAGGCAAAACTGTTAATCCTTCAATGGATCCTATCACGTGTTGATGTAGTTTCTCCAGAATATCTGCTCCTCAGACAAATAAACTTCTTGCCCCCAAAACAGAATTGTGCAATGAGATCTCATTTCAGATATTTGCAAAAGCATGATCTATATTCATCCCGAATCCCCGATGTATCGTGCCTGACCCCCAGGAAATCTCTTTAGTTGCCGATTTGCCATGTTGATTCTGTTAAATTGTGAATTCGAGCACCGTCGTAGATGCTGTTTTGCTAGTTACTCATCGTGCGCCCACAATAAAAACAGTCACACCACTTGACAGTATATCCTGTGAAGCCCTTTGGAACGTCCGCCTGATGTGAAATTGATTGAAATTTTCAAGACTGAGAACGATAGATTTTCTGAGTTAAGGGTATCAAGGTTTTGGAGCAATAGATAACCAGTGATAGTAAAGCTTGATTTGACAACCCATCTCTCTGCCTCAAAGGTCAAATGCCCCATCTGTGGCATTGAGAAGAGAACAGAAATGTTGGACATTTTGTAAAGATGTACAGTAAAATAAATACTCATGGATTTGTTCCAATAAAGATGGAAATTTCCAATGTATCTACTTGTGAAAATGCCAGTAACAGTCCACTTTACATTGTACATATTATAGCAGTGAAAATCCTGAGGCCTGAAACCTTCCCAGGGTCAACAACAACAACAGGTAGTCTGTCATCATTTTGTCTCATGTAGTGAGTTCATGTAGAATTGTGGAAAATTAAAAATGTAGTATCAATTTTGAAGCCAGTTTCCTGCAGTTCTTAAAAGAATCGGCTTCCAAATTAAGATTGAATTTAAAAATTCTCCATGATTCTGCTCAATTTAAAATTTTAAAGACAAAATGATCTTAAAGAATAAGACTAGGGGGAATTTCAGGCCTCTGGACTCTGAATACGCCTTAGGATATGGTGAATTACAAACTTGATAACAGGTGATTTTTTTAAAAAAAGTGCAGATTTGTTTTGTACTTTCTACAATAAAATAGAAGCATGTGAGTGTTTCAAAATAGGCATATTGCAATTCTTGTGAGGCCTTAAAATAACAGGTTGTGGAAATTACGAAGAAGCAAGAACAGTTTTTGCACTTCAGGAAGGGAATGAACCATGTTGACTGCTGTGAAAAATCTGATTTTGAAAACTGGATAATTCATATCTAACTTTTATTTCTCCGTTGGTTATTGCCAAACATTTGTGAAAATATTTTAAAGGTTTAAGCAACAGTAAACTTAAGTTTTGAACATTTTAATAGATTATAATAGATATATGAATTTAAAACTGCAAACCTGACCTGTTGATCCAGTGTGACTAACGCAAAATGACTCAAAATAGCCTGGCGTATGAGATTACTGCAGTTCAAATTGCTTAGCACGATAGATGTCTCTTCCAAACCAAAATTCACTGGCAAAACATGGTTGTTCACTGCCCATGTCCTCAGAAATCACTAAGAATAAAGCTTTTTTTTGTTACACAGTTTGACGTCTTGCAAATCTGTAAGGGCACAGACATTGTCTGTAAAATCTTCACAAGTTAATGGATGCTAAAGCAAATCTGTAACATTGTTATCAGCGGTGACCATGATGATCCCCAAAAGGGATATGTATAATCTTATATATAATCTTATGTAGTGAATTAAGCCCCTCACCTCCACTGAATACAAACAAACTGCTGCTGAACCTTTCCTAACTGGTTGAACATGAATTTACAGTACAAATTTACGTTTATACAGCGTCTTTCACATCGGATGGTTGTCCCAAGACGCTGGACTTGCAGCGGATTTGCAAACTCGGATTTGCACCCGAGTTGGACTGGGATTGAGTGATGGAGAGGGTGGGGAAAAAGATGATCAAAAGCGTGATCAAAGAGGAAGATCTTGAATTGGTCTTTGAAGGAGGTGAGGGAAGGGACGAGGCGAAGGGACTCCGGGATCGAGTTCCACAGAGTGGGGCTAGAATCACTTAAAGCCCGACCACCGGTGGGGTGGGGAAACAGTGTTCACAGTGTTTAAGAGGCCAGAGGTCCAAGACGAGGAGGCAGAGAGAGAGCGAGATGGAGAGAATGTCGTTGATAACTGATCAGGGCAGTCTCAGCAGAAGCAGTTCATGCAGGGAGAGGAAAAAGCAAAGCTGGGCAGCAATGACTCATTCCAATACCTTTGACAGGAATCGGTAGGTTGGTGATGGAACGTTAGTTAGGGAATAAGGATGAGTCGAGGGAAAGATTTTTAAAGGGGGTGTGATAGCTGTTTTGAAAGGAGCAGGGACTGTGCTGGGGGACACAGCGAACCTTATGTCGATAAACAGTGTTACTCAGTTTCCAGTAAGTGTCACATAGAGAAGTGACTAAGCAATAAATTACAGCTGTGTCCCACAGTCAGGACACTTCTGCTTTCAGATATCTATGAGAAGTATGTTATACGTAAATGGAGGACAAAAGTAGCTTCCACATGCAGGGAAAATAAACTATTTGAATATGACAGGAGAGCTGGTGGGAAGGGTTTCGAAGATGCAGAAACTTGCTGATCAACCAATCATCTGATTTACTGATGTAATATACTCTGCTGTTCAGCAGAACTGGTGCCTTAATTGTTGAACAAGGTCAAGTGAAAGATAAGAGAATCTCTTCCACTATTTGTTAACTGGTGCAAATTTAGTCAGCAGTCAGCCATGTCTCAAACACTTTTTCTTTTTACTATAGCTGTTCTACATGCTCCCCCTTAGTGACATCATCTGCAGACATGGGGTAAATTTCCACATGTATGTGGATGACACCCAACTCTACCTCTCTGCCTCCACCCTGAACTCCAGGACTACTGGCATCCTGACCGACTGCCTGACCGACATCAAGTCCTGGACGAGGGCCAACTTTCTCCAACTCAACATCAGCAAGACCGAGGCCCTCCTGATAGGCTCGCGTCAACGCCTCCGCTCCTCGGGCACCGGCAGCATCAGCCTCCACGGCTGCACACTCAACCTCACTAAGCCAGTCAGGAACCTGGGTACCTTGTTTGACCCTGAACTGTCTTTTCTCCCCCACATCTGCGCCATGACCGGCACTGCCTATCACCACCTCCGCAACATTGCTAGACTCCTCAGGCTGCCGAAACCCTCACCCACGCATTTGTCACATCAAGGCTCGATTACAGGAACTCCATCCTCATCGGCCTTCCCAACTCTTCGCTTCACGAGCTGTAGATCATCAAAAACTCTTGCAGCTCGTGTACTCTCGCGCACCAGGCTCCGTGACCCCATCACTCCCACCCTCGCCCGACTCCACTGGCTCCCCATCCCCCAGAGGATCGAGTTCAAGATCCTCGTCCTCACCTTTAAGGCCATCCGTGGCCTTGCCACCTCCTACCTCTCTGACCTGCTGACTCCCTACCAACCTG